ATGTGTTTGATTGTACGGTTAGATGTGTGGTATGAGGTGACTTTTGAGGCGCCTCAAAATACACCTGTTTGCTGTCATGTGTTTGATTGTACGGTTAGATGTGTGGTATGAGGTGACTTTTGAGGCGCCTCAAAATACACCTGTTTGCTGTCATGTGTTTGATTGTACGGTTAGATGTGTGGTATGAGGTGACTTTTGAGGCGCCTCAAAATACACCTGTTTGCTGTCATGTGTTTGATTGTACGGTTAGATGTGTGGTATGAGGTGACTTTTGAGGCGCCTCAAAATACACCTGTTTGCTGTCATGTGTTTGATTGTACGGTTAGATGTGTGGTATGAGGTGACTTTTGAGGCGCCTCAAAATACACCTGTTTGCTGTCATGTGTTTGATTGTACGGTTAGATGTGTGGTATGAGGTGACTTTTGAGGCGCCTCAAAATACACCTGTTTGCTGTCATGTGTTTGATTGTACGGTTAGATGTGTGGTATGAGGTGACTTTTGAGGCGCCTCAAAATACACCTGTTTGCTGTCATGTGTTTGATTGTACGGTTAGATGTGTGGTATGAGGTGACTTTTGAGGCGCCTCAAAATACACCTGTTTGCTGTCATGTGTTTGATTGTACGGTTAGATGTGTGGTATGAGGTGACTTTTGAGGCGCCTCAAAATACACCTGTTTGCTGTCATGTGTTTGATTGTACGGTTAGATGTGTGGTATGAGGTGACTTTTGAGGCGCCTCAAAATACACCTGTTTGCTGTCATGTGTATGATTGTACGGTTAGATGTGTGGTATGAGGTGACTTTTGAGGCGCCTCAAAATACACCTGTTTGCTGTCATGTGTTTGATTGTACGGTTAGATGTGTGGTATGAGGTGACTTTTGAGGCGCCTCAAAATACACCTGTTTGCTGTCATGTGTTTGATTGTACGGTTAGATGTGTGGTATGAGGTGACTTTTGAGGCGCCTCAAAATACACCTGTTTGCTGTCATGTGTTTGATTGTACGGTTAGATGTGTGGTATGAGGTGACTTTTGAGGCGCCTCAAAATACACCTGTTTGCTGTCATGTGTTTGATTGTACGGTTAGATGTGTGGTATGAGGTGACTTTTGAGGCGCCTCAAAATACACCTGTTTGCTGTCATGTGTTTGATTGTACGGTTAGATGTGTGGTATGAGGTGACTTTTGAGGCGCCTCAAAATACACCTGTTTGCTGTCATGTGTTTGATTGTACGGTTAGATGTGTGGTATGAGGTGACTTTTGAGGCGCCTCAAAATACACCTGTTTGCTGTCATGTGTTTGATTGTACGGTTAGATGTGTGGTATGAGGTGACTTTTGAGGCGCCTCAAAATACACCTGTTTGCTGTCATGTGTTTGATTGTACGGTTAGATGTGTGGTATGTGCTCTGTCAGGCTGTCTTCCCCACAGACGACGTATTTTGAGGCGACTCAAAAGTCACCTCAATTCTACTGGTTAGGTGTGTTTTGAGACGTCTAGTTTTGAGACGTCTCAAAACTCGATGACTTTTGAGTCGCCTCAAAAGTCACCTCAATTGTACTGGTTAGGTGTGTTGGTGCGTGCTCATGCCTGTCAGGCTGCATTCCCCTCAGCTGTCAGGTATGTGGTGCGTTGGCATGTCAGTTTTTTCAAACACAAACTTGTTACTTCCTCCGGTGGTTCCCACGGCCGTCACTTGTTTGCTTCATCGCCGCTACCTCGAGTGGCAGGGGCAGGCAAGGGAGCGGAGGAAGGGGCGAAGGAGACATATTTTTTTTAATTCGACTCGAAAATGGTATCCCCCTCTCCAATCCCCCTCCCTCCACTTACTCCCTTTTTCCCACAGCCGCCGCTTGCTTGCGCCATCCACGCTACCTCGAGTGGCAGGGGCGGCAGGCAAGGGAGCCGAGGGAGGGGCGAAGGAGACCCCGCAGGAGAGGCTAAAGCGGCTGATGGCAAAGCAGCTGAACAAACACAGTAGGTTGGGTGTGAAGTGGGTGAAACTAGGGGTTAGCACGTTGATGTATGGAGGGAGGGGCGAAGGAGGCATTGCGGGAGAGGCTGAAACGGCTGTTGGCAAAGCAGCTGAACAAACACAGTAGGTTGGGTGTGAAGTGGTTTGCACAGGTTGAGTTCAGTGCAGTAGGGTAAAGCGTTGAACTCCAGAGGGAGGGGCGAAGGAGACCCCGCAGGAGAGGCTAAAGCGGCTGATGGCAAAGCAGCTGAACAAACACAGTAGGTTGGGTGTGAAGTGGGTGAAACTAGGGGTTAGCACGTTGATGTATGGAGGGAGGGGCGAAGGAGGCATTGCGGGAGAGGCTGAAACGGCTGTTGGCAAAGCAGCTGAACAAACACAGTAGGTTGGGTGTGAAGTGGTTTGCACAGGTTGAGTTCAGTGCAGTAGGGTAAAGCGTTGAACTCCAGAGGGAGGGGCGAAGGAGACCCCGCAGGAAGAAGCCTCGTCAGGTGTTTTTGTCCACACGGTGCCGGTTCAGGTGTTTCATCAGGTGTTGCTTCAGGTGCCCTGTGCTGTTGGTATCTGCTTCTGTCGCCTTCTCTTCGTATCCATCTGAGAAGTAGTCTGATAACAGCTTGATTTGATCCCGTATGGATACTTCGCTTCGACATAAGATGTTCGGACATCTCTCTATAATCACACCCAGCTTCTCCTCGGGAATCCCTGCTGCCTCCACCAGAATGTCCAGGTTCGTTGAACGAGCCTGCGAGCGGATGAGGTACGGCGAACCCCGGATCACCATGCCTAGCTTGCTTCGGCGCACGCCCCGAGCCAGAATAAACTCAATCGTCCCCTGAATTTGCGGAAGGGAGCTTCGGAGCCAAGACGCATTCCTGATAGTGACGTGGACAATGGTGGCTTGGAAAATGCCGTACGACTGCAATAATCGGACACGTGGCAGAAGGTCACTGGCAGGATCGGAACGCAGGAGGGCAGGGTGGGAGGCGAGGAGGGAAGCGACAGTGGAAGGGGAGGAGATGCCGAGGTGGGAGGAGAAGAAGCGGTAGAGGGAGAGGAGGGAGGAGGGAGATACGACCCGAGGGCTGTTGAGTGGAGGAGGGGGTGTGGGAGGAGATGTGGTGGGTGGTGCGTCCTCCTCACTCGCTTCTGCTTCTGCTTCCGCGTCTTCCCCCTCATTCCCTTCCTCATCCTCTTCGGCCTCAGCTTCTGAGCCCTCTGATTCCTCATCCCCATACCCCACCTCTTCCTCTTCGTGTCGTCCCTGATCGTCCTCCTCCTCCTCCTCTCTCACAATCTGAGGCCCGAATTTCTCTCTCAACACTCCAGCAATCATAGCCACTGCCTTTTCCTCCTCCTCTGTCTCCTTCCATCCTCCCCTCCCTCCACGCTTCGACCCGCATCCCTCAATATTGTCCTCCACTTCCGTTGCTCTCCTCTCACGTCTCGTACGCGCTCCTCTGCCATCCACCTCCTCTCTTCTCACTCTACTATCGGTCATCTCTGACTCTCCTGCATCACTTTCTCCCTCCTCTCTTCAATCTGTACGCAATCGAGCCTCCATCCCAACCGTCACTTGAGTAACTGGCAGCACTGGGTTGCCATCAAAGATCGGATCAGATCGCACGTTCGCACTCTCCGCCTCGGAAACCTCTGCTGCTTTGGCCAACGATCCAGCGGGACAGCTTATAATGAAGCTCCGGTCAGGGGTTCGAAACCTGGTGAATGCGTTTTGTGCAGGCTGGTGTCGGTTTAGCCCAAACCGGTAGAGGCTCGGCGGGGAAGGAATAGCAGCTGCGGATGCCATTTCAGGCTTCTCTGAAAATGACTTATTACAAGGCGTAGAAGACGGTGTCATGAATCTTAATGAAGATCTTCATCTGTTAATCCACGCGCTGGGTTGCCGTGACGTTCTGGTCCGATACGCCATATCGAATAGCCGATGGATGCAACGAAACGGATGAATGATCACATGAACGACTTACACGACTTCAGTGCGTGTCCTACGACGACCATCAGTAGTGATTTCCGATACCCGAATCGTTGCAGTGACTGCCAGTAAAATAACGTTTCGTCTCAATAGTTCCTCCGGTTGCTGGCAGCAGACATCTCACGCTCTAGTAGCAAAGTTTACGATACAGACCCAAGAGAACAATGGAGAAGTGCTATGATAGAAAGAGCCATGGTGAATCCAGATGAATGCAGCAGACGGATCCTATTCTGGTCCCACTCACTGCCAACACTGGGATTAGGACGCGGCGAAAGTAGACGATTGATCGTCAGTAGCGATCGATGTGCGGATCGGTTACCCTATTAACTACTTTGTAACCATGCTACAGTCCGCTTTCTGGCCAAAATTTATGTACAGTGTGAGAATGCGACTGATCACTGTTCGCGGGAAATCTGTCAATTTTCAGCCGCGATCGTTACAGCGTCGCGGTCGCCACGTTTCGCCAAACGATCTGCCCACTCGATTGTGGGGATCGATATATGCAGACGATCCTGCGATGTTTGCACTTTCAACGCGTCCTTACCGAGCTGTATTTTCGCTGGCGCATCAATTCTAACTCCTTTCACGAGTGCATTGCGACAATGAAATGTCGCATGCGGAGGTCGACTATGTTCGCTAGCCCCTGTCTTTTGGAACGAGGACTGGTTGCCACACTTGCGAAGAGTTTTGTGCATTCGTCCACAAGCTGGTTTGTGCGGTTTCGGAGTCGTACCCGTTTACAGAATTCGTACCTGTTTACAAAATCCAAAAAGAGCAAGGAACTTCGAGCAACTGTACAATTGGGGCCTGACGCAACTAAGCAGGGCTGGCTTTTCTCAATGTACCTATAAAGAGACCCTTTATGGAACTAGTCAGGTCAAATTTCGAATCCTGAGAGCTGACATCGGGCCGCCTCCACTTCCTTCTGTGCTTGTGTATTTGTGCATACCATATATTTGTTGTGCCGGCTCATTACCTTTTTTTAGTTGACCCAAAACTGCAAATAAGTAGAGCCAACTTTTGAGTCGTTTAAAAGGTCAAAAGTCGAATCTTGCAAGTTGAGCGTGCGCCTCTTCCACGTCCTTCTGTGCTTTCTTCCTCCGATAGAATATGGGGCAGTCTCGACTGCCAGGGGAAGAGAACAGAGGGAGGGTGGAAGGGAGTGATAATTGGGATCAAGCAGTCAATGGTGGCGCCCCCTCCACGTCCTTCTGTGCTTTCTTCCTGCGAACGAATATGGGGCAGCCGCGACTGCCACGGCAAGGGGACAGGGGAGAGTGGTTTGATTACTATAAGTCAAGCAGTCAACGGTGGCGCCCTCTCCACGTCCTTCTGAGTTTTTTTCCTCCAATAGACTATGGGGCAGTTGCGACTGCCAGGGCAAGAGAACAGGGGGAAGTGAGGTCATGCAGGTAAAGAAAAGTGGATACTTGTGAATCAACTCGAAAAAAAATTACTGCAGAGACACCATCAGCATACCTGCTACAGCAGCCCCATCCCACCATCAGCGTACCTGGTACAGAGCACGTCTTACTGCGAGCTTTCCTGCCCTCGCTGGCACTCCACCCACAGCCTTCCGAACTACTCCTCAAATTTTAGTCGCCTCAAAAACACCTGTGACAGCATCACCACAAGCGTAGCTGCGACAGCATCACCATCAGCATACCTGCTACAGCAGCACCGTCCCACCATCAGCGTACCTGGTGCAGAGCACGTCTTGGTGCAAGCTTCCCTGGCACCGCTGGCACTCCACCCATAGCCTTCCAAATTGCTCCTTCCTTATTAACCGACTTAAGATCACATCAGCGCATGCTACAGCACCATCCCACCATGCAGCATACCTGGTGCAGAGCACGTCTTGGTGCAAGCTGCCCTGGCATCGCTGGCACTCCACCCATAGCCTTCCAAATTGCTCCTTCCTTATTAACCGACTTAAGATCACATCAGCGCATGTTACAGCACCATCCCACCATGCAGCATACCTGGTGCAGAGCACGTCTTGGTGCAAGCTGCCCTGGCATCGCTGGCACTCCACCCATAGCCTTCCAAATTGCTCCTCACACTCCCGCACTGAATCACAGACAGCACAGGAGACACGCAAGAGGATGGAGAGAGCGTGAGGAGAGTACTCAGCATTGCTGCATGACTTGTGCAGGATGAAACCATCGCCTCACACCGCTGGCGCACTCCACCCATAGCCTTCGAAACTGCTCCTCACACTCCCGCACTGAATCACAGGCAGCAAGGAGGGAGGATGCAGAAAGCATGAAGGAAGCACACAGAAAGCAGGATTGAGGGATTGGTAAGCTGATTATCGATTATCCTAAAAAACACGGCCAGCAGAAACCATTGAAATTAAACTATCAAAGACTCACCATTGGATGTGATCCGTTGGTAAATCTCGCCTTCTCGATCCATACAGTGCGCACACAGCGTCTGGGAATTGCCGCTGCCAGGAGAGTGAGCAGAGAAAACGTAAAGGACGATAAAATGAGAGGAGAAGATGGTAAAATGCAGCGCATTCGTGCATACACACCAAACATAGGAAAACATTCGGGTTTTCCCTCAGGCACAGCTGTTCTCGGAGATTTCATGGATCAAACAAGAAAGGGCTAGAAGGGTTCGAAATTCAATCATAACTTATTGTTACAAAAAAAAAAAAAAAACAAAAAAAAAAACAAAAAAACATGCGGTTGGGTTACCTGAGGGGTGTCTTGCAGCCGAGGCAGGAGAGGCGGACTTTGGCGAATCGCATGATGCCACCTGTCGAAGGCGTGGAGATGGAAACGGCACGCGTGTGCGCCCCACTCAGCAGCTCCTTGCTCGCGTTCTTCAGAATGGGCTCGAAAATTCTCAGCAGTGGCTGGAACGTCGGGGTATATAGGGTATGGGTTGAGGGTTCAAACAAGAAACGGGGGTGGGGGGGGAGAGGGGTTTGAGTGGGGTATGGATCACCGAGTTCGCCCCACTCAGCAGCTCCTTGCTCAGCAGCTTCGTCAAGATGGGCTCGAATATCGGCAGGAGGGGCTGAAACATCGGGGTTTAGGGTTGAAGATACGAGTTTAAGGGGTGGAGGGCGGTGGAGATGGACACGGCTCGCGTGTGCGCGCCACTAAGCAGCTCCTTGCTCGCATTCTTCGGAATGGGCTCGAGTATCCGCAGCAGCGGCAGAATGGGCGCCTCAAAAGTGGTGAGGGAAGACTTTTCAGGCGCCTCAAAGGACAACCGCTCTTACCTTGCTGAGTTGGTTCTCCAGGTAGTAGTGCGGGTCGATGGGAATGTTGTTCTCCAACACGTGGATGGGGTCCTCTGACTTCTCGTATGCCTGAGATGAGAAAACGAGAAGCAGGAGAACCACATCCCCATACAAACTGAGTGTGTGAATCTCGTACAGAAGAAGCAGGCACACCGGGTGAACAAACCGCAGGTATAGCAATCTCATCGCATGCCTGGAGGGAGTGACGTCATTTTGTCCCACTCTTGGAAGCATAACGCAGGCGTCTGTTACAAGAGCCTGTGTATGCCTAACCCCTTTGAGAATTTTGAGAAACGGGTATGAGGTGACTTTTGAGTCGACTCAAAAGTCACTCTGTTACAAGAGCCTGTGTATGCCTAACGTTTTGAGAAATAAAAAAAACGGGTATGAGGACCTACCAAGAGCGTACAGAAGAAGTGCACTGTGCTTCCTCAGGAGTCTATACACTTTACACCGCATGCATGTGCAAGCAGCTCACCTTGCTGCCCTTGGGAGCCTTGCAAATGACATATGCCACTCGATCCCCGATACCCGGTGCCGTGGCGGGGTCACGCTGTGAGAGAGCGCGAGTCAAGCAAGCATGCTTTCAAGCAAGGTACATGCATGTCGCAAGCAGCTCACCTTGCTGCCCTTGGGAGCCTTGCAGATGACATATGCCACTCAATCCCCGATGTTTGGTGCAGTGGCGGGGTCATGCTGGGAGATGGGCGGAGTCAAGCAAGCATGCTTTCAAGCAAGGTACATGCATGTCGCAAGCAGCTCACCTTGCTGCCCTTGGGAGCCTTGCAGATGACATAGGCCACTCGATCCCCAATGCCTGGTGCCGTGGCGGGGTCACGCTGGGGGAGAAAGAACAGAGGGAGGTTGGAGAGGGAAGGCAGAGAAGGATCAGATGGGCGGCAGAGGGTTGGACATAGGACCTCGAATGGAGACTTCATGCTTGGTGACTCATGCTGTATCAGATGAGACGAGGGCAAGATGAGGGCAGTATGGATAACAGGTGAAAACTTGAGAAAGAACTTACCTTGCACAAGGACTTCATTTTACAGCAGCACACGTCCAGCCCACGAATCATCTGTAGTAAGAAAAGGCTCACCTTGCGCATTCTCTCTGCTAGCTGGACGTGGGCCGCCTTGACGGCATAGTCGTCACCTCCCTTGGTCAGCGCCTTGGTGATAACCAGCAGTGAGAGGTGTTTTGAGTCGACTCAAAGTCACCAGCACATGACCTCACCTAATTACTCACAACCATGAGCTTACCTTACGCATCCTCTCTGCTAGCTGAACGTGACCGCATAGTCGTCACCTCCCTTGGTCAGTGCCTTGGTGATAACCAGCAGTGAGAGGTGTTTTGAGTCGACTCAAAGTCACTAGCACATGACCTCACCTTGCGCATTCTCTCTGCTAGCTGCACGTGGGCCGCCTTGACCGCATAGTCGTCACCTCCCTTGGTTAGCGCCTTGGTGATAACCAGAAGGGAAAGGTCGAGCTTGTTCATAAGGAGATCCGAGATGACAGCCTTCACGTATGCCACGGCCCCGGGAATATCCCGCTCCATTAGAATGCGCCGCAAACACTCGTCCACCACCTGTGGGGTGGGGGCAAACCAGGGGGGCATGAGACGATGCATGAGGTGTTTCAACATAAGAGGTGATAACCAGCAGGGAGAGGTCGAGCTTGTTCATAAGGAGATCCGAGATGACAGCCTTCACATATGCCACTGCTCCTGGGATGTCCCGCTCCATGAGTATCCGCCGTAAGCACTCGTCCACCACCTGTGTGTGGGGGAGGGGGTGGGGGAGGAGGGAGGGGGTAGACCAATGCAAGGTGACTTCAGAGGTTGCTCGAGAAATGACAGCATTCACATATGCCACAGCACCAGGGATGTCCCGCTCCATTAGAATCCGCCACAAGCACTCATCTACAACCTGTGGGTGGGAAGGGGGTGGGGCGTAAATCTGTGAGGCATGAGAGGACATACGATGTGCCTCACGAAAAGATGACAGCCTTCACATACGCCACAGCTCCATTATAATCCGCCGCAAGCACTCATCCACCACCTGTGGGGTAAACCAGTGGGGCATGAGACAATATTGGGGTCGCCTCTACAACTTATGACAGCTGTTTTGAGTAAAACGGAGTTTGAACACTGGTCGGAGCGGATGCGCTTTTGGGGTGATCAGTCGACTGGGAAAACGTGTTCCGTTCATGGTTTTTTTCGACGCATTTCGGATTTAAACATGCTGAAAACGTTCACAGTTGTTTTGGACTTCTCAAGTTCAACCCATGCACCCTCTCACCTGGCGGACCAGCAGGCAGTTGTCTCTCCGAACCGTCTCGATACCTGAACGGTTGCAGAGTAGGAGACACGAGGAGGGAAAGGAGGGGGAAGGTTGGACTTATTTTTGAGTCAAAGGCCTTTGAGTTGGACACTTGATACAATCACACCTTTACTGGCACACCTAGGCCACGCCACCGTACCTTTGGTGTCCATCTTGTCAAAGGCCTTGGAGTTGGACCAGTACAGCCCCGCGTAGCGTATCGCTTAGTGTGCATGTCACAATGATCACACCTTTGCCCTCACACCTCAAGCATCACACCTTTGGTGTCACACTTTGCACCGTACCTTTGGTGTCCATCTTATCAAAGGCCTTGGAGTTGGACCAGTACAGCCCCGCGTAGCGTATCGCTTAGTGTGCATGTCACAATGATCACCCCTTTGCCCTCACACCTCAAGCATCACACCTTTGGTGTCACACTATGCACCGTACCTTTGGTGTCCATCTTATCAAAGGCCTTGGAGTTGGACCAGTACAGCCCCGCGTAGCGTATCGCTTAGTGTGCATGTCACAATGATCACCCCTTTGCCCTCACACCTCAAGCATCACACCTTTGGTGTCACACTATGCACCGTACCTTTGGTGTCCATCTTATCAAAGGCCTTGGAGTTGGACCAGTACAGCCCAGCGTAGCGCTTCTTGTTGATCAGCAGGTACGGGAAATACACCTTCTCAAACTCCAGCCTGATTGGCTGAGAGGCAGAGGGCAGACAGGAGAAAAAAAAGTGTGTGGGTGTGTGTGCGTATTTTCTGTTTTAGGCAAAAAATTGGAGGTTAGAGAAATTGATGGAGCAGAATTAATCCTCTTTAGTCTCTATAATCCAGCAAGCAAGGGCTCTCACCTTAGGAAATGTATCAGAAATCTCCTCTGCAGCCTGCCTGCCCATGCGCATGGCCTCCTCTACAGTGTCCACGCCAAACATGACCATCACGGAGTCCGTGTCGCCATACACCACATCAGCATTGTGCGAGTAGCCGTTGGCGATGGAGTAGTGCTGCTCCACGAACGCCCTCGTGTGCTCTATCATCTGCCGCCCTGCACGTATGGACGCACACAAGCACACATGCACGCACGCACGCGCACGCGCGCACACACGCACGCACACACATGAGGAAGAGGAGGCAGAAGTGAGTTTTTGAGGTGCCTAGAGAGAGAGGCATTGTGCGAGTATCCGTTGGCGATGGAGTAGTGCTGCTCCACGAACGCCCTCGTGTGCTCTATCATCTGCCGCCCTGCACGTATGGACGCACACAAGCACACATGCACGCACGCACGCACACACATGAGGAAGAGGAGGCAGAAGTGAGTTTTTGAGGTGCCTAGAGAGAGAGGCATTGTGCGAGTATCCGTTGGCGATGGAGTAGTGCTGCTCCACGAACGCCCTCGTGTGCTCTATCATCTGCCGCCCTGCATGCACGCATGCAGAAAGAGAGAGGCATCTGTGATGAGGAGTTCAGAGGCTTCTGTGAAGCATTGTGGGCCGCGTTTTGTCAAGACCGACCGACAACTAGCTCAGAAACGCAGTAGCACAGGCCTCCCAGCAGCAAAAGCAGCAACACATGCAGAAAACAAGCAGAAACCTCAACACAGGCAGAGCGTGAGTACAAAATCTGCATCCACGCATGTGAGTGACTCACCATAGGCAGTAACGCTGGGTGATATTTCCAAGCAGGGCATGGCGCTGATAGTAGCTCCAGTGAATCCATAGACAGAGTTGTCACTCACCTGTCCGACCATAGGATTAGCTTTTGAGATGCCTCAAAAGCCAGTCACACATGTGCGCAACCCACCATAAGCAGTGACGCTGGATGAGATTTCCAAGCAGGGCAGCGCGCCGATGGTAGCCCCTGTGAAGCCGTAGACAGAGTTGGCACTCACCTGAGATGAAGAGGAAGAGAGGAGAGCCATTAGGGAATGAGAGGACGCATGGAAAGCAGAGGCATGACAGTGCAGTGATAGCAGCCCCAGTGAAGCCGTAGACAGAATTGGCAAAGGTGGTGGACAATGGAGAGACACACGAAAGGGTGTGAAAGCACTTGGGAAACAAAAAGGGTGTGAAAGCTGAAATCTAGTTTGCTGTTATCCTACCTTGCATCCCAGATGTTATGCTACCTGGCCTGGAGTGCCAGCTGCCATCCCACCTTGAGTGCCAGCTGTCATCCCACCTTGAGTGCCAGCTGTCATCCCACCTTGAGTGCCAGCTGTCATCCCACCTTGAGTGCCAGCTGTCATCCCACCTTGAGTGCCAGCTGTCATCCCACCTTGAGTGCCAGCTGTCGGCCGTCCAGCACTGCTTTCTCCAAGGGATCCGTGGCTTTCTGCAGGAGGGAAGGAGTGGGACGGGAGGCGAGGGGAGGGGAGGGGATGAGAGGGGAGGGGAGGGGAGGAGGTGGGGTGTTGAGTTGTGAGTAGGGTGACGTTAAGGATGGGGAAACGTGACCTGACGTTTTCTGTTCTTGAATGGGTATGGCTTTCTGCAGAGATGAACGGTTGGGATGCAGGCAGGCAGGGAGCGAGGGATGAGAAATATGAGGGTTTGAGATAATTATAAAAAGAACCATGCAATGCAACAAACACTCCCTCCCCCTCCCCACCTTGAGATCCGCCTTTGCTGTTTTCCTTGCTGCCAGCAGCTTCTCCAGAAACTCAGGCGCAATGCCCTTGGCTGCTGATAGCTAGGTGCCTTGAGGGAGCATGAGTCATGAGACATGCATTCAGCTACGCTCTTCGAGGAACCATGCAACAACCTCCCATCTTTCCCCCTCACCTTGAGATCAGCTTTTGCTCTCTTCCTCGCTGCCAGCAGCTCTTCCAGAATCTCCGGCAGAATGCCCTTGGCTGCTGATGCCTTCACGACGAGGAGACTAGAAGGAACCAGGCAACAAACCCCCCTCCCCCTTCCTCCCTTCCCTCCTACCCACCCACCCCACCTTGAGGTCTGCCTTTGCCCTCTTCCTCGCTGCCAGCAGCTCTTCCAAAATCTCCGGCAGAATGCCCTTGGCTGCTGATGCCTTCACGAACAGGTCCCCTGTGGGCGTTTGCGATATCTGGTCGTCTGATGGCCTCATGCCGTGCTCCTTCTGAACCTGATGGGGTGAGTGGTGAGAGTTGTAGGGTGGGTGAGGGGGTGAGTGATGAGGCAAGTGAGATTTGAGTCAAGTCAAAAGTCACGAACAGGTCCCCTGTAGGGGTTTGCGATATCTGGTCGTCCGGTGGCCTCATGCCGTGCTCCTTCTGAACCTGATGGTGGGAGTGGTGGGGAATGGTGAGGAGTGGTGGGGCAACTTTTGAGACGTATCAAAAGTCTGTAGGGGTTTGTGATATCTGGTCGTCTGGCGGCCTGATGCCATGCTCCTTCTGCACCTGATGAGGCAAGTGGTGGGGAGTGGTGGGGAGTGGTGGGGAGTGCAGTAGCAGAGGTTATGGGCCATAATGATGGGCGATTACAGCGATGCAGAGTCAAGAGTGCATGTGACTGTGAGAGTACATGCGAGTGTTTCTCACTTCAATCACTCACCAGAGTGCAGTAACAGAGGTTGTGGGCCATCACGATCGATGGGTAGAGACTCAAAGTCAAGAGGGTGCATGTTAGTATGCTTGTGAAAGCATGCAAATATGAGTATGCATGTGTGTTTCTCCTCTAAGCCACTCACCAGAGTGCAGTAGCAGAGGTTGTGGGCCATCATAATCGATGGGTACAGCGACGCAAAGTCAAGAGTGGCCACGGGCCGTGCCGTTCATAGAATCCCTGCTTGGCTCCAGCACCGTCGCCCCCTCATGGGTCCCACCCTCTCTTGAGTGTGTGTGTGTGTGTGCATGTGGGCATAGGAGCATGGGCGTGGGCGTGGGCTTGTGCAAGCGTGAGCATGCATGTGCATCCTTGGGTGGCTGACTCACCAGAGTGCAGTAGCAGAGGTTATGTGCCATCATAATCGACGGGTACAGCGATGCAAAGTCAAGAGTAGCCACGGGGCGTTCATAGAATCCCTGCTTCGGCTCCAGCACTGTCGCCCCCTCATAGGTCGCATCTGCTCCTGCCCCGGCCTGCACCTTCATGTTGGGTACCAGCAACTCTCGCTGCCTCGCCTTGCGTAGGATCTGAGAGAGAACCTGTAATCATGGAAGGTGGGGAGGGAGAGAAACCAGGCTTGGCTCCAGCACCGTCGCCCCCTCATATGTTGCATCTGCTCCTGCCCCGCCCTGCACCTTCATGTTGGGCACCAGCAACTCTCGCTGCCTCGCCTTGCGTAGGATTTGAGAGAGCACCTGGAGTGTGTGTGTGAGCAGGGAATAGGGGAAAAGGAGGGCGTTCAGAGAACCCCTGCTTTGGCTCCAGCACTGTCGCCCCTCCATATGTCGCTTCTGCCCCGCCCTGCACTTTCATGTTGGGCACCAGCAACTCTCGCTGCCTCGCCTTGTGTAGGAATTTAAGAGAGCCCCTGGAGTGTGCGTGACAAAAAGAGAGGACAAGAGGAAATGAGGAAGAGGAGGAGCGTTCATAAAACCCCTACTTCGCCCCCAGCCCGCACCGTCGCTCCCTTTTGTGTGTCCGGGTCCGTGTGTGCGGGGACAAGGGCTGTCATACCTGACGAAGTACAGAGGAATATGCGTAGGGTAGAAAGAGTAAGCAACTTGACGCTCTGGTTTTATAAGCGCGCGCTTGGACCAGGGCGCGCGCGTGGACCAAGGCGCGCGCGTGGACCAAGGCGCGCGCGTGGACCAAGGCGCGCGCGTGGACCAAGGCGCGTGAGTGGACAAAGGCGCGCGCGTGGACCACGGCGCGCGCGTGGACCAAGGCGCGCACGTGGACCAAGGCGCGCGCGTGGACCAAGGCGCGCGCTTGGACCAATCAGACCAAGGCGCGCTCGCGGACCAAGGCGCGCGCTTGGACCAATGAGACCAAGGCGCGCTCGCAGACCAAGGCGCGCGCGCGAACCAAGGCGCGCGCGCGGACCAAGGCGAGCGCGCGGACCAAGGCGCGCGCGCGGACCAAGGCGTGCGCGCGGACCAAGGCGTGCGTGGACCAAGGCGCGCGCGTGGACCAAGGCGCGCGCGCGCGTGGACTAAGGCGCGCGCGTGGACCAAGGCACGTGCGTGGACCAAGGCGCGCGTCTGGACCAAGGCGAACGCCCGTGGACCAAGGCGCGCGCGCGCGTGGACCAAGGCGCGCGCGCGCGTGGACCAAGGCGCGCGCGCAGACCAAGGCGCGCGCGCGTGGACCAAGGCGCGCGCGCGTGGACCAAGGCGCGCGTGTGGACCAAGGCACGCGCGCGGACCAAGGCGCGCGCGCGTGGACCAAGGCGCGCGCGCTCGTAAACCAAGGCGCGCGCGCGCGCGGACCAAGGCACGCGCGCGAACCAAGGCGCACGCGCGCGGACCAAGGCGCGCGTCTGGACCAAGGCGCGCGCGCGCGTCTGGACCAGGGCGCGCGCGTGGACCAAGGCGCGCGCGCGGACCAAGGCGCGCGCACGGACCAAGGAGCGCGCGCGGACCAAGGCGCGCGCGCGCGGACCAAGGCGCGTGCGCGCGTGGACCAAGGCGCGCGCGTGGACCAAAGCGCACGCGTGGACCAAGGCGCACGCGCGCGTGGGCCAAGGCGCGTGCTTCGACCAAGTCTTGGTCCAACTGCGCCTGGTCACTTGGACCATTTGGACCAGTTGGTCCAAGTGACCAGTTGGTCCAAGTGACCAGTTGGTCCAAGTGGTGTTTTGGTTCACCTCGTGCAAGGAGAAACGGACTGGGAACTCTCGTGACTCTGGCCATATCCACATAGTTGTAGACCATCATCAGCTTCTCCAGCAGCCTTTGCGGTAGGTACGCGCCCTTCAGGCAGCAGAGCAGACAGTGTGTGTGTGTGTGTGTGTGTGTGTGTGTGTGTAGGGTAAATAATAAGTATCTTAATACTTTGCCCGAGTGCAAGAACGAAATAGGGACGCCAGTGACTCTGGCCATCTCAACGTAGTTGTAGACCATCATGAGCTTCTCCAGCAGGCGCTGCGGCAGGGAGGCAGCAGACTGTCAGCGTCATGGGTGGGGTGTGGCGTACCTTGATACTCTGCCCTCGAGCAAGCAGGAAGGAAATAGGGACGCCAGTCACACGTGCCATCTCAACGTAGTTGTAGACCATCATGAGCTTTTCCAGCAGCCACTGCGGCAGGTATGCATCCTTGAGGCAGTGGAGTGTCAGTGTCAGGGTGGAAAGATATGGGGACTCCAGTCACCCTGGCCATCTCCACATAATTGTAGACCATCATGAGCTTCTCCAGCGGGCGCTGCGGCAGGTACGCGTCCTTGAGGCAGTAGAGCAGACAGTGTGGAGGGTGTAGGGTAGAGAGTAAGTACCTTGATACTCTGCCCTCGGGCAAGCAAGAACGATATAGGAACGCCAGTAACTCTCGCCATCTCCACGTAGTTGTAGACCATCATGAGCTTCTCCAGCAGCCGCTGCGGCAGGTAAGCGTCCTTCAGGCAGTAGACTGCAAGCCGGCGGCGCGTCTGGGCGTCTCCGTTCTGAAGGTCAGCGATGATAGAGTGATGCACGTCCTCCTTCTGCTCATTACACGCACATTCCGTGCAAGCACAGTTGGTACAAGCACACGGGGTAGAAGCACACGAGCTTGAGGCAGTACACGGCCAGGTGGCGACGCGTTTGGGCGTCGCCATTCTGAAGGTCTGCGATGATGGAATGATGCACGTCCTCCTTCTGCTCTCATGGACAAAGGGGCGGGGGGGAAGCACATTACATACAAGCACATTTCGTTCAAATGCATGAGGTAATATAGAAGCACATGAGTGGCTTTGAGGCAGTACACGGCCAGGCGGCGGCGCGTTTGGGCGTCCCCGTTCTGAAGGTCTGCGATAATAGAGTGATGCACGTCCTCCTTCTGCTCTTGTTGCGAGAAGGGGGGGGGGAGAGAAGGGAGCATCGCACAAGCACATTCGATATAAGCACATTTGGTATCGAGAGGGGAGACTCAACCTGTTCGTCGAGGAAGTGGACTGAGACGGAATTTGAGGGAGTAGGAGCTGAGCTTGTGCTCCCTCTGAACGAATAATGGCCAGAAAACTAAGTGGTTGATATTTAGAAGTGAGTGCGTGTAAGAACCTAACCTGTTCGTTGAGGAAGTGAGCCGAGGAGTTGAGTGAGTAGGAGCTGAGCTTGTGCTCTCTCTGAATGGCCACCAGCAGATCAAACTGTACGCGCCCATCCAGTGTCACCTCCTTGGTTTCCCTCGTGCCATACTGCCTGCATTGGAAAGAGGGAATAAGGGTGCAAAAAGAGGAGGGAGGGAGGGACTGAATGGCCACCAGCAGGTCAAACTGCACGCGCCCATCCAGTGTCACCTCCTTGGTTTCCCTCGTGCCATACTGCCTGCATTGGAACGAGGGAATAAGGGTGCAAAAAGAGGAGGGAGGGAGGGACTGAATGGCCACCAGCAGGTCAAACTGCACGCGCCCATCCAGTGTCACCTCCTTGGTTTCCCTCCTGCCATACTGCCTGCATTGGAAAGAGGGAATAAGGGTGCAAAAAGAGGAGGGAGGGAGGGACTGAATGGCCACCAGCAGGTCAAACTGCACGCGCCCATCCAGTGTCACCTCCTTGGTTTCCCTCGTGCCATACTGCCTGCGTTGGAAAGAGGGAATAAGGGTGCAAAAAGAGGAGGGAGGGAGGGACTGAATGGCCACCAGCAGGTCAAACTGCACGCGCCCATCCAGTGTCACCTCCTTGGTTTCCCTCGTGCCGTACTGCCTGCATTGGAAAGAGGGAATAAGGGTGCAAAAAGAGGAGGGAGGGAGGGACTGAATGGCCACCAGCAGGTCAAACTGCACGCGCCCATCCAGTGTCACCTCCTTGGTTTCCCTCGTGCCATACTGCCTGCATTGGAAAGAGGGAATAAGGGTGCAAAAAGAGGAGGGAGGGAGGGACTGAATGGCCACCAGCAGGTCAAACTGCACGCGCCCATCCAGTGTCACCTCCTTGGTTTCCCTCGTGCCATACTGCCTGCGTTGGAAAGAGGGAATAAGGGTGCAAAAAGAGGAGGGAGGGAGGGACTGAATGGCCACCAGCAGATCAAACTGTACGCGCCCATCCAGTGTCACCTCCTTGGTTTCCCTCGTGCCGTACTGCCTGCATTGGAAAGAGGGAATAAGGGTGCAAAAAGAGGAGGGAGGGAGGGACTGAATGGCCACCAGCAAATCAAACTGCACGCGCCCATCCAGTGTCACCTCCTTGACCTTGGTTTCCCTCGTGCCATACTGCCTGCATTGGAAAGAGGGAATAAGGGTGCAAAAAGAGGAGGGAGGGAGGGACTGAATGGCCACCAGCAGGTCAAACTGCACGCGCCCATCCAGTGTCACCTCCTTGGTTTCCCTCGTGCCATACTGCCTGCGTTGGAAAGAGGGAATAAGGGTGCAAAAAGAGGAGGGAGGGAGGGACTGAATGGCCACCAGCAGGTCAAACTGCACGCGCCCATCCAGTGTCACCTCCTTGGATTCCCTCGTGCCATACTGCCTGCATTGGAAAGAGGGAATAAGGGTGCAAAAAGAGGAGGGAGGGAGGGACTGAATGGCCACCAGCAGGTCAAACTGCACGCGCCCATCCAGTGTCACCTCCTTGGTTTCCCTCGTGCCATACTGCCTGCATTGGAAAGAGGGAATAAGGGTGCAAAAAGAGGAGGGAGGGAGGGACTGAATGGCCACCAGCAGGTCAAACTGCACGCGCCCATCCAGTGTCACCTCCTTGGTTTCCCTCGTGCCATACTGCCTGCGTTGGAAAGAGGGAATAAGGGTGCAAAAAGAGGAGGGAGGGAGGGACTGAATGGCCACCAGCAGATCAAACTGTACGCGCCCATCCAGTGTCACCTCCTTGGTTTCCCTCGTGCCGTACTGCCTGCATTGGAAAGAGGGAATAAGGGTGCAAAAAGAGGAGGGAGGGAGGGACTGAATGGCCACCAGCAGATCAAACTGCACGCGCCCATCCAGTGTCACCTCCTTGACCTTGGTTTCCCTCGTGCCATACTGCCTGCATTGGAAAGAGGGAATAAGGGTGCCAAAAGAGGAGGGAGGGAGGGACTGAATGGCCACCAGCAGGTCAAACTGCACGCGCCCATCCAGTGTCACCTCCTTGGTTTCCCTCGTGCCATACTGCCTGCGTTGGAAAGAGGGAATAAGGGTGCAAAAAGAGGAGGGAGGGAGGGACTGAATGGCCACCAGCAGGTCAAACTGCACGCGCCCATCCAGTGTCACCTCCTTGGATTCCCTCGTGCCATACTGCCTGCATTGGAAAGAGGGAATAAGGGTGCAAAAAGAGGAGGGAGGGAGGGACTGAATGGCCACCAGCAGGTCAAACTGCACGCGCCCATCCAGTGTCACCTCCTTGGTTTCCCTCGTGCCATACTGCCTGCATTGGAAAGAGGGAATAAGGGTGCAAAAAGAGGAGGGAGGGAGGGACTGAATGGCCACCAGCAGGTCAAACTGCACGCGCCCATCCAGTGTCACCTCCTTGGTTTCCCTCGTGCCGTACTGCCTGCATTGGAAAGAGGGAATAAGGGTGCAAAAAGAGGAGGGAGGGAGGGACTGAATGGCCACCAGCAGGTCAAACTGCACGCGCCCATCCAGTGTCACCTCCTTGGTTTCCCTCGTGCCATACTGCCTGCGTTGGAAAGAGGGAATAAGGGTGCAAAAAGAGGAGGGAGGGAGGGACTGAATGGCCACCAGCAGATCAAACTGTACGCGCCCATCCAGTGTCACCTCCTTGGTTTCCCTCGTGCCGTACTGCCTGCATTGGAAAGAGGGAATAAGGGTGCAAAAAGAGGAGGGAGGGAGGGACTGAATGGCCACCAGCAAATCAAACTGCACGCGCCCATCCAGTGTCACCTCCTTGACCTTGGTTTCCCTCGTGCCATACTGCCTGCATTGGAAAGAGGGAATAAGGGTGCAAAAAGAGGAGGGAGGGAGGGACTGAATGGCCACCAGCAGGTCAAACTGCACGCGCCCATCCAGTGTCACCTCCTTGGTTTCCCTCGTGCCATACTGCCTGCGTTGGAAAGAGGGAATAAGGGTGCAAAAAGAGGAGGGAGGGAGGGACTGAATGGCCACCAGCAGGTCAAACTGCACGCGCCCATCCAGTGTCACCTCCTTGGATTCCCTCGTGCCATACTGCCTGCATTGGAAAGAGGGAATAAGGGTGCAAAAAGAGGAGGGAGGGAGGGACTGAATGGCCACCAGCAGGTCAAACTGCACGCGCCCATCCAGTGTCACCTCCTTGGTTTCCCTCGTGCCATACTGCCTGCATTGGAAAGAGGGAATAAGGGTGCAAAAAGAGGAGGGAGGGAGGGACTGAATGGCCACCAGCAGGTCAAACTGCACGCGCCCATCCAGTGTCACCTCCTTGGTTTCCCTCGTGCCATACTGCCTGCGTTGGAAAGAGGGAATAAGGGTGCAAAAAGAGGAGGGAGGGAGGGACTGAATGGCCACCAGCAGATCAAACTGTACGCGCCCATCCAGTGTCACCTCCTTGGTTTCCCTCGTGCCGTACTGCCTGCATTGGAAAGAGGGAATAAGGGTGCAAAAAGAGGAGGGAGGGAGGGACTGAATGGCCACCAGCAAATCAAACTGCACGCGCCCATCCAGTGTCACCTCCTTGACCTTGGTTTCCCTCGTGCCATACTGCCTGCATTGGAAAGAGGGAATAAGGGTGCAAAAAGAGGAGGGAGGGAGGGACTGAATGGCCACCAGCAGGTCAAACTGCACGCGCCCATCCAGTGTCACCTCCTTGGTTTCCCTCGTGCCGTACTGCCTGCATTGGAAAGAGGGAATAAGGGTGCAAAAAGAGGAGGGAGGGAGGGACTGAATGGCCACCAGCAGGTCAAACTGCACGCGCCCATCCAGTGTCACCTCCTTGGTTTCCCTCGTGCCGTACTGCCTGCATTGGAAAGAGGGAATAAGGGTGCAAAAAGAGGAGGGAGGGAGGGACTGAATGGCCACCAGCAGGTCAAACTGCACGCGCCCATCCAGTGTCACCTCCTTGGTTTCCCTCGTGCCATACTGCCTGCATTGGAAAGAGGGAATAAGGGTGCAAAAAGAGGAGGGAGGGAGGGACTGAATGGCCACCAGCAGGTCAAACTGCACGCGCCCATCCAGTGTCACCTCCTTGGTTTCCCTCGTGCCATACTGCCTGCGTTGGAAAGAGGGAATAAGGGTGCAAAAAGAGGAGGGAGGGAGGGACTGAATGGCCACCAGCAGATCAAACTGTACGCGCCCATCCAGTGTCACCTCCTTGGTTTCCCTCGTGCCGTACTGCCTGCATTGGAAAGAGGGAATAAGGGTGCAAAAAGAGGAGGGAGGGAGGGACTGAATGGCCACCAGCAAATCAAACTGCACGCGCCCATCCAGTGTCACCTCCTTGACCTTGGTTTCCCTCGTGCCATACTGCCTGCATTGGAAAGAGGGAATAAGGGTGCAAAAAGAGGAGGGAGGGAGGGACTGAATGGCCACCAGCAGGTCAAACTGCACGCGCCCATCCAGTGTCACCTCCTTGGTTTCCCTCGTGCCATACTGCCTGCGTTGGAAAGAGGGAATAAGGGTGCAAAAAGAGGAGGGAGGGAGGGACTGAATGGCCACCAGCAGGTCAAACTGCACGCGCCCATCCAGTGTCACCTCCTTGGATTCCCTCGTGCCATACTGCCTGCATTGGAAAGAGGGAATAAGGGTGCAAAAAGAGGAGGGAGGGAGGGACTGAATGGCCACCAGCAGGTCAAACTGCACGCGCCCATCCAGTGTCACCTCCTTGGTTTCCCTCGTGCCATACTGCCTGCATTGGAAAGAGGGAATAAGGGTGCAAAAAGAGGAGGGAGGGAGGGACTGAATGGCCACCAGCAGGTCAAACTGCACGCGCCCATCCAGTGTCACCTCCTTGGTTTCCCTCGTGCCATACTGCCTGCGTTGGAAAGAGGGAATAAGGGTGCAAAAAGAGGAGGGAGGGAGGGACTGAATGGCCACCAGCAGATCAAACTGTACGCGCCCATCCAGTGTCACCTCCTTGGTTTCCCTCGTGCCGTACTGCCTGCATTGGAAAGAGGGAATAAGGGTGCAAAAAGAGGAGGGAGGGAGGGACTGAATGGCCACCAGCAGATCAAACTGCACGCGCCCATCCAGTGTCACCTCCTTGACCTTGGTTTCCCTCGTGCCATACTGCCTGCATTGGAAAGAGGGAATAAGGGTGCAAAAAGAGGAGGGAGGGAGGGACTGAATGGCCACCAGCAGGTCAAACTGCACGCGCCCATCCAGTGTCACCTCCTTGGTTTCCCTCGTGCCATACTGCCTGCGTTGGAAAGAGGGAATAAGGGTGCAAAAAGAGGAGGGAGGGAGGGACTGAATGGCCACCAGCAGGTCAAACTGCACGCGCCCATCCAGTGTCACCTCCTTGGTTTCCCTCGTGCCATACTGCCTGCATTGGAAAGAGGGAATAAGGGTGCAAAAAGAGGAGGGAGGGAGGGACTGAATGGCCACCAGCAGGTCAAACTGCACGCGCCCATCCAGTGTCACCTCCTTGGTTTCCCTCGTGCCATACTGCCTGCATTGGAAAGAGGGAATAAGGGTGCAAAAAGAGGAGGGAGGGAGGGACTGAATGGCCACCAGCAGGTCAAACTGCACGCGCCCATCCAGTGTCACCTCCTTGGTTTCCCTCGTGCCATACTGCCTGCGTTGGAAAGAGGGAATAAGGGTGCAAAAAGAGGAGGGAGGGAGGGACTGAATGGCCACCAGCAGATCAAACTGTACGCGCCCATCCAGTGTCACCTCCTTGGTTTCCCTCGTGCCGTACTGCCTGCATTGGAAAGAGGGAATAAGGGTGCAAAAAGAGGAGGGAGGGAGGGACTGAATGGCCACCAGCAGATCAAACTGCACGCGCCCATCCAGTGTCACCTCCTTGACCTTGGTTTCCCTCGTGCCATACTGCCTGCATTGGAAAGAGGGAATAAGGGTGCAAAAAGAGGAGGGAGGGAGGGACTGAATGGCCACCAGCAGGTCAAACTGCACGCGCCCATCCAGTGTCACCTCCTTGGTTTCCCTCGTGCCATACTGCCTGCATTGGAAAGAGGGAATAAGGGTGCAAAAAGAGGAGGGAGGGAGGGACTGAATGGCCACCAGCAGGTCAAACTGCACCCGCCCATCCAGTGTCACCTCCTTGGTTTCCCTCGTGCCGTACTGCCTGCGTTGAGAAAAGGGCGCAACAAGCGAAGGAAGAAACTCTCAGCTGCCAAAGGCTAATGTGAGGCGAAACAGATAGTGCGCACGAAATGTGAGCTCAGGTCAGAAAGTGTTTCCAGATTGTGTTTCCAAATAAGGTGAGTAAGTCAGGTTCGGTTCGGACCTGGATTGGAAGCGTGGGTGGATCGTGCAGCTTGAGCTGGGGTGGCTTTGTCCTGTCTAATAAATAGGTCAATGAAAAATCCATCAACATAGCTATTTGAGTGTCAAAGTCGGACCTGGATTGGAAGCGAGCATCGCGCATCTTGAGCTGGGTGTTGAGAATCCGACCAAGGAAGGGGAAGGTCTTCAGATTCAGCTTCTCTGCCCTCTACACGAGGAGTGCAACAGAGGATCAGCAAAATAGCAGAAAAGGACAACTTTGAGTCGACTCGAAACGCATCTTCAGCTGGGTGCTGAGAATCCGACCGAGGAAGGGGAGACTCTTCTTCAGGTTCAGCTTCTCTGCCCTCTGCGCGAGGAGAGCAACAGAGGGGCACCAGTAGCAGAAATAGCAGGCGCACCGTGGATGCTACTCATTGTTGCTTCAGGTCAGGCTGATTGCTTGCACAAACTGAAAACACGCAATCAGCCAGGACCAAACTATCGCCAACCAAACCATGATTATATACGATCTTTGTGATAATATCTCGTGTTAAGCAGGACCTCCTTTTACAAAGTCTCTGATCCATGGTACAGAGCATGTCATGTCAATTGCTCTTTTGTCTGACATCTCATCGTGTTTACACCCACCCACCTCAATCAAGTAGGGAAGATCGAACTTCTGAATGTTGTACCCAATTATCATGTCCGGGTCTGTCGCCTGGACAAGCTCCTGTGTGGGGGGAAACAAAGTGGGGAGAGAGCAGAGAGGTGGAGTTTGGAGGAGCCTAAAAGGTCGTGCTGGGTCGTCCTGTGGCTGGGTCGTGCTGAGTCATGGAAAGTAGCCCTCATGTGGAAACTGGGTCACCTTGACTCGACGCAGCAACACACACTGTTGGTTAAACATCCATCTCATGGCAACAGTTACACCCATGCAGCCAGCCACTCTCAGCCCATTCACCTTCCAGGCAAGAAGCAACACGCACCTTCCAGGCAGGCAGCAACAACCACCTTCCAGGCAGGTGCTGCTCTGTGTCAAACGCCACGACATCACACCCAACGATGGGCGCACACGAGCCGAGAGTGAGCACATAGAAGGGCAGTGATCTGGCAATTAGACTGACCCACCTTCCAAGCCAGCAGTAGCTGCTGCTCCGTCTCGAAAGCCACCACGTCACACCCCACGATGGGCGCATACGAGCCGAGAGTGAGCACGGTGCGAACCAGCGGGTCGGTGCTGCCCTGCTGGGAAACTATATTGGCGATCTGAATCACCAGGTCGTGCTGCGGCTCTGGTAGATACAGACGCATCCCGTGAAAACTCTCACACACACGCTCAGCCCACGCACCTTCCACACACCTTCCAGCCCACGCACTTTCCAAGCCAGCAGCAGCTGCTGCTCGGTCTCGAATGCCACCACGTCACACCCCACAATGGGAGCACACGAGCCGAGGGTGAGCACGGTGCGAACCAGCAGGTCGGTGCTGCCCTGCTGAGAGACAATGTTGGCGATCTGAATGACCGGGTCGTGCTGCGGCTCCGGAAAGTGCCCCTTGCGCCCGCTGCACTCGATGTCGAAGCTGAGGATGCGGAAGGGGGCCATGCGGGACCACTGGCCCGTGCCCTCATGGCTGACTAGGTCCGTATAGCTGGTGGGTGTGGAACGACAGTGGGGAAGGCAGGGAGGGAGAAAGGAGAGGCAGTGAGTGGACTGCAAGGGCTCTGAAAAGTGAGGGAGGAGTAGAAGCAGAAGCAGAAGGAGTGTTATTGAGTGGAGTCCAAAGCTCAGTGGTCGTTCCGAAGGAGGAGCAGCGGGAAGATCACCGGAGCAGCAGCGGAAGGAGTAGCGGGAGGAGCAGCAGAAGAGAAGATCAGATTACGTCACATAAAATCGTATTACATCACACGTCACTCACAGAATATCAACCTCCAGCTGGCACGCCGACAGCTTTGACAGCTCAGGTGCCTTCCCTCCCAATCACTTCACGTGTCATGTACGAATCATATCTTCCACACATCATCACATCACATCACATCACTCACGGGATATCAACCTCCAGCTGGCACGCCGACAGCTTCCGCGTGTCCTCGCGCACGCGGTACGTGCCAGCTGGCAGCGAGATCCAGTTGCCGCCGGTGACGTGGCAGTCAATCATGAAGCGCAGCGCAAAGAGCACGTTGCTCTCGTACGTGGTGGCGGGGAATTGAAACCCGTTCCACTCAAACCCCTGCTCAAAGTATGCTGGGTGGGGGAAAGGGGAGAGGACAAGGGAGACAGCAGTAACAGGACAGTACGGTCAGTCAGAAGTGGCAGCCAATCATGAAGCCCAGCACAAAGAGCACTAAACACGTTGCTCTCGTAGGTGCACTTTGTGTTGACTCAAAACAATCATGAAGCGCAGCACAAAGAGCACATTGCTCTCATAGGTGGTGAAGGGGAAGTGGAAGCCGTTCCACTCAAAGTGCTGCTCAAAGTATGCTGGGAAAGGGGAGAGGACAGGGAGGCAGCAGCAAGAGGACAGTACGGTCAGTCACACGCTTTGACGTTTCTGGGCATCACCCATTAATAAAATTCATGGTTGTCAGCGTCCCACTTACCTCTGCATGGAGCCACCATAGTGGGAAGAGTGAGTGCGATCTATAAAGTTCCGAGGTTGCTCGGTTCTCGACAAAAGTTCTCACCCCGCTCAGATCAAATCATGAGAGGAAATTCTAAGGGAGGACCAAGCACTCAGGCCTGCTTACCTCTGCATGGAGCCACCATAGTGGGCAGGGCGAGTGTGATCTTAAGGAATGTCTTCTTATCAGGGCCTTGATAGTAAAGCAGCCCCTGCGCTTTTAGCATCTCCACTTTTATCACAACCACTCCCTTCGCCTGACCCCTTTCCTGCAGTCATATGTGCAGCACAGTACAGTTACATATGCTGTTAGTTACATATAGGTGCACATCCACAAGCACATGGACGCACGTAACAATATATTTCTGTGCATATAATGCATTTATGTATATACATATGTACATATGTAATGCATATTCAGAATGGGACTTCGCTAATAATGATACGTGCAACCTGGAAACGTCAAAACGTGTGACTGTACCGAGAGTTGGGTGTGGAAGGCAGCAACATCATCGTATGTGAATTGCGACGGTGCCATCACATAGAAGTATGGCAGAAAGCCGTGCACCATGGCACACACGCTGTTTCCTGAAAGCATGAAGGGAGAGGAGACAGTGGTGAGACATGAGATATAGAGGTGAGAGATGAGAGCCATGGGAAAACAATGTAGCAAAGAGGGCACAATCTACCAAGGAAGCGAAAATAAGACAGCATGCTTAAAAACTAGGAGGAACTGACCATGCTCGTTGACACCAAAGATGCGGAGCACAGCTGAACTCTTGTAATGAGTTTTGAAGGGTGAGTCAGATGTCAAGTAGTAGTCAATGTCAAGCTGCTGAAACACTGAGAGACGGCGGGAGTGAGAGCGTGGGAATGGGGTATAACTTGGGTCGACTTAAAACTGGTTTTGAAGGGTGAGTCAGATGTCAAGTAGTAGTCAATGTCAAGCTGCTGAAACACTGAAATATGTGAGGGTGAGAGCAAAGAGGTGAAGAAACTCAACACACTGACATTGATGCACATCAGAATTCATCATGCATCTTGAAATATGCACATTGATATCCTTCATGCACATTGACATCCATCATTCACACTATCATCCAACGTGCACGTTGACATTCACCATGCACGTTTGACATCCAGCATACACGTTGTCAATGCAGACATCCACACACACAGGCTATCCGTGTGTCTGTGAATTTGTCTTATTCTGCTTATCCAGCGATAAGAGTTTTCACACGGCTCTGGATCGCTCGCATCAGGAGACGGCGTCATGACTAGCTTCCTCACCGTGCTTCACCGTACTTCACCATGTTCCCTGCAATATTTTAAAACACGCATGTTCGAGTTCCCGCTACACTAATCAAAGCTGGCCTTCTCACCTATATCAGTGGCTCTAGGGTCGAAATCCGTCACCGGCTGCCGCCGCCACTTAGCTAAAAGCGGCTGCAGCCGACCCATCTGTCCTACCCGCCGGGCCTCCTCCTTCGCCGCCTGCTCCGCTCTCCGAATCAAATCCGTCTCGTCTTCCGCCATCATGATCATCATCGCCTCGTCCTCATCCATATCCGCTCCTCCCGCGTCGCCGCCGATCGCCATGGCTTCTTCGACCTCCTCCTCTTCCTCCTCCGTCCCTACCGCCATCGCCTCGCCTTCCTCCTCGTCGCGTCGCGACGCGGGAATTCCGCTGCCGCCGCCGCCGCGAGCGGGAAACGGCCGCTTCGACGAGGCTATCGGAGCGGGAGGGCCTCGCGGCCTCTTGCTTGAGTCCATGCCGATGACCGTGGGTTACTACCACTATCGACGACTGAAGTCTTGTTGGAGTCTTGTATGCTGGCAATAGACGCAGCGAACTTGTATTAGTCGATGATTAAAAGAGTTCTAATCTGGAACGAGAGTGCGTTGCATTCACTAGGTCAGGAGAGCAGGCAGTGAATGTCTTGGCAGGTTACCGCTTGTCAGAGGAAGCACAGGAAGCTGAGTTCAGTCTTGGATTCCGATTTTGAATTTTGAATTTCAACCTCCGGGCAACGGACTAGTGTTGGAGGCAACCTCGATAGAAGCGAGACAACCTCCAGGGCGGAGAGATTGGTTTGAATATAGCAATAAGAAGCACTACACCGCAAATGAATTAAAATAATACTAGGTCAACAAAACCCGGCAAATGTGGCAGTTGCGGGATAACCCGAGCCAAGCCTAGGCCGAACCAAGGTACCTTCACTCTCTACGAACCTTGAAATCTCCGCACCGCAAACGACACTGCCGAACCTGACGTGGTAGGAGACCTTTTTTTGCCCGCCTCTCCAGCCACAGCACCAACCTCCCTTCTCCCTTTGCCTAGAAAGCTTATCAATTCACTTGGTGCTTCTTGGTTTCATACCTCAATCCTAGAAGCTCACATACTCTCCCACATAGTCTTTATGTAGTAAAGCTTTTCAATTTCCAGGGGTAGATAGACCTGAGTTTGAACAGGCATAGCTGGCTCATATATTTTAATTTCGAGTGGCCAAAAAAGGTGTGGTGTACTTTACGTGGTCACCGGCGTGGTACATCTGGTGGCGGTTCGGCTCGGAGCAGGTCGTAACTCTATGAACCGCGCCTTAAGCTCTTATGGACATGCTCGAGGATTTCAAGGGTTCCTCCTTCTGAGGCGCCTAAAAGGCCGTCTGTGAAACGCCCCTTAAGCTCTTATGGACGTGCTCCAGGATCTCAAGGGTCGCGCGAGGAAGGCGGCAGAGCAGCTCTCGCTGCTGCTCTCCCCCGGCGTTTCAGCCTCTCCTGCCCACCAAGCCGCGGAACACGACAACCAGTGCGGTGGCCCGAATCCTTCTACGGGGAACCGCGCTAGTAGCAGAAGAAGCGGAAGTAACGGCGCAAATGGCGCAGCTGCAGCAGGAGCAGCAACGGGCGCTTTCAGGAATGCCCGCTCGCGGAAAAAAACACCCGGACGGCGTCTGAATAAGGACGGGACGTACAAAAAGGGCCCAGGCGCATTTCAGTCAGGGAGGCAGGAGAAGCAAAAAGCTCCAGTAGATGATGACTCATGGCAGCGGGAGGTAGCGGAAATAGGTTCATATACAGCGCTAGCCCCGAAATATTCCCCTCAACTACCGTCACACGGTGCTCGGAATTCGCGGTCAACGTCGTCCTCGTCGTCGCCAGCGTCGTCGACTTCGCTATCGTCTCCGGCGCCGTCAGCTCACTCGCCTTCGCAATCTCCGTCGCTTGCTTCTTCCTCCCCCTCCCCCGATTCTCCCCCTCTTAACCCTCGTCTATTCCCACCGCGCTCCGCGTCCTTCCCCCCTCTCCTTCCGCCAGCCCATTCCCCGGCTCCTCCCCCCGCAATCCCCCCTCGCTCCGCCTCTCCGCGGGGGAATTCTCCCCCTCGCGACCCAAGATCTTCCCCGTCGTCTCTTGCGGTAATTAGGTCTTTATTTGAAGCGCCGCAAAAGTCTTTTCCCGGGCGGGAACTGGTCCGCGGGCAGCCGTCGCGGCACAGCCTACTTCATAGACTAGCGTCTAGGGTTTCGCGTCCTGAGGGGAGCTCTGAGGGAGCGGACGGGGAGGAAAATGAGGCAATCCCGAGGTGGGACGGCGGGTGGGAACGACGGCACGGCAGCTCTGCCGGTTGGTCGGCAGCAGACGGGAATTCTGACGGAGGACGCGGGATCCGCGTCAAGTCGGAGAATGAGAGCTCGCCATTGGTGGAGGTGGATTCGGCCAATGAGAGAGTCGAAATTCTGGTGCTGAGAGGTCCGGAGGGCAGGGTGATAGGCTCGGGAGGGGATGCGAGAGGAAAGAAGGGAGCGGCATCAGAGCAGGGGGGAAGAGATGGAGGAAGGGGAAGGGGTGGTGGAGATGATGGGGGTGGTGAAGAGACGCTGATTCAGCAATGGAGGAGGCTTCGTCAGAAGCAGCCTGCACAGCAGCAACTGCCTGAGCAGCGGCAGGAACAACAGCAGCAGCAGCGGCGCCAGCAGCAGCAGGAGCGGTTTTATAATGTGCACAGTAGGAGGGTTTCTGAGGAAGAACGGCAAGTTATATCTGTAGATAAGCGTATTTTTTCTGTGGACCGGCCTGTTGAAGCTGGGTCTGAAAGTGCGGATGCAGATGGCCTAGGGCTCTTGCAAAAGTGTATCAGGCAAGTCTCGCGCCTATTACCGAACCAGAGCTGTAACGAGTACGGGGATTCCAGGCCCACCAGGGAGCTCGCGGTGTCATCTAGAACCCGTTTTAGAAATTCTCTTAGTGAGGACAGAACGAGAGAGGGTCTGGAAGAGGCTGGGGTGGGTAATACCCCTAGTAAACTGGGGTTATTTCGCAGGTTGCCCATCGGGAGGTGGAGGGAGGGCGCAAACGCGGAGGAAGTGCGGGAGGGGATGGGCGCAGCGGAAAGACTATGGAGCAGAGGCGCAGAGGCGGAATCAGGGGAGGGGAATGGGCTAGGGATGGGAATAGGCGGGCTGAATACACAGTTTGGAAGAACTACAGCCTCGTTCGCGAGAAGACGAGCTGGAGGAGGGGCAGGATTCGGAGCAGGAGGAGCAGGAGGAGCAGGAGGGGCCGGATTAGGAGCAGGGGCAGGGGGGAGGATATCAGTGATGCAGCTGCGTCAGATGGTAGAGGCCAATCCCGAGGCCTTCCTTCGTGCCTTTGATCACGTGGCGAAGCAGGTGGAGGCTGCGCGCAAGAGACGCACGGTTACGGTTACCAGCAAGTACAACTCGCGGACCGACATCCTCCGATCGGCACTCTCGTTGGACATCCCCTCACTGTCCCCCTTCCCGTTCCCGCTCCCGTCCCTCCCTCACCTTCCGTTCTTCTCGTCCCCTTCTCCCAACTCCTCCTCCTCCTCGTCCCCTTCCTCTTCCTCCCCCTCCCCCTCCTCCTCCTCCTCTTCCGCCTCCCGGCCCTCCTTCCCGCTCCGCATTAGAGCAGTGGCGGAGGGTCGACCCTCCTCGCCCTTCACCCGCTTCTCCATCGCCCCGGAAATCGGCCCTCTCCGCTTGAGATGGGACCGGCCCCGCCTGGTGCCCTCCTTCGGAGCCACCCTGCATTCTGGAGACAATTCCCTGGTGCAAATCTTCCATGACCTCCAGGTGTGTCTGGGGTTGACGATGATGCTTGGTGCCCTGAGATGGGACCGGCCCCGCCTCGTGCCGTCTTTCGGAGCTACTCTGCATTCCGGCGACAACTCCCTCGCGCAAATCTTCCATGACCTCCAGGTGCGTTGTTCCTGAGGTTCCCAATGCACATCGGAAAGAAACCCTCTCCGCTTAAAATGGGACCGTCCTTGCTTGGTACACCTTAAAGATCACACCAATCACCTCCTTCCGTGTGCCCTCGAATCCATGCCAGGAGCGGCCCAGCCATCGCACGGCGCTCGTGGTGGGGTGGTGGGCTCGATCCATGGCCGTTGTTGACTCCAGACTTCAAAACACACACCTGACTGATCCCCTTGCGCGTCCCTCCTTTCCATGCCAGGAGCGGCCCAGCCATCGCACGCGGCTCGTGGTGGGGTGGTGGGCTCGATCCATGGCCTACCGATGGCCCACCAGGTTCTGAATTGCCTTATTACACACCTTCTCCTCTTCCTTCCCTCCCTCCCATCCATGCCAGGAGCGCCCCAGCCATCGCACAGCGCTCATGGTGGGGTGGTGGGCTCGCTCCATAACCTTGGTTGACATGAACTATCAGAACGCACCTGACTAATCGGAAGCTATCTCTTTCTTCCTTCCCTTCCAATTCATGCCAGGAGCGACCCAGCCATCGCACGGCGCTCATGGTGGTGTGGTGGGCTCAATCCATAACCTTGGTTGACATGAACTATCAGAACGCACCTGACTAATCGGAAGCTATCTCTTTCTTCTCTCCCATCCATGCCAGGAGCGACCCAGCCATCGCACGGCGCTCATGGTGGGGTGGTGGGCTCGCTCCATTACCTTGGCTGACATGAACTATCGGAACGCACCTGACTAATCGGAAGCTATCTCTTTCTTCCTTCCCTTCCAATTCATGCCAGGAGCGACCCAGCCATCGCACAGCGCTCATGGTGGGGTGGTGGGCTCGATCCATGGCCTACCGGGCACTCCTCTCCCTCAAGCTGCCCGCCTGCCACGTGGTATGTGTGTGCCCTTATGTTACCAGCCCATGGCCTAGTATGTGAACAACAACCATGTTCTTAACGAGCCCTCCTCTCCCTCACAAGATGCTCGCCTGCCACGTTCAACTAATTTTACTCCCAGCTTATTGTTTGGATGTATGGCCTACCGGGCACTCCTCTCCTACATGCCCGCGTGCCCACATTATACCCCTGCCCACATGCCCACATGCTCGCATGCCCACATGCTCGCATGCCCACATGCTCGCATGCCCACATGCTCGCATGCCCACATGCTCGCATGCCCACATGCTCGCATGCCCACATGCTCGCATGCCCACATGCTCGCATGCCCACATGCTCGCATGCCCACATGCTCGCATGCCCACATGCTCGCATGCCCGCATGCTCGCATGCCCGCATGCCCGCATGCCCGCATGCCCGCATGCCCGCATGCCCGCATGCCCGCATGCCCGCATGCCCGCATGCCCGCATGCCCGCATGCCCGCATGCCCGCATGCCCGCATGCCCGCATGCCCGCATGCCCGCATGCCCGCATGCACGCATGCACGCATGCCCGCATGCCCGCATGCACGCATGCCCGCATGCCCCCATGCCCGCATGCCCGCATGCCCGCATGCCCCCATGCCCCCATGCCCCCATGCCCCCATGCCCCCATGCCCCCATGCCCGCATGCCCACATGCCCGCATGCCCGCATGCCCGCATGCCCGCATGCCCGCATGCCCGCATGCCCGCGTGCCCGCATGCCCGCCTGCCCGCATGCCCGCATGCCCGCATGCCCGCATGCCCGCATGCCCGCATGCCCGCATGCCCGCATGCTCGCATGCCCGCATGCCCGCATGCCCGCATGCCCGCATGCCCGCATGCCCGCATGCCCGCATGCCCGCATGCCCGCATGCCCGCATGCCCGCATGCCCGCATGCCCGCATGCCCGCATGCCCGCATGCCCGCATGCCCGCATGCCCGCATGCCCGCATGCCCGCATGCCCGCATGCCCGCATGCCCGCATGCCCGCATGCCCGCATGCCCGCATGCCCGCATGCCCGCATGCCCGCATGCCCGCATGCCCCCATGCCCGCATGCCCCCATGCCCGCATGCCCGCATGCCCGCATGCCCGCATGCCCGCATGCCCGCATGCCCGCATGCCCGCATGCCCGCATGCCCGCATGCCCGCATGCCCGCATGCCCGCATGCCCGCATGCCCGCATGCCCGCATGCCCGCATGCCCGCATGCCCGCATGCCCGCATGCCCGCATGCCCGCATGCCCGCATGCCCACATGCCCACATGCCCACATGCCCGCATGCCCACATGCCCACATGCCCCCATGCCCGCATGCCCGCATGCCCGCATGCCCGCATGCCCACATGCCCGCATGCCCACATGCCCGCATGCCCGCATGCCCGCATGCCCGCATGCCCGCATGCCCGCATGCCCGCATGCCCGCATGCCCGCATGCCCGCATGCCCGCATGCCCGCATGCCCCCATGCCCGCATGCCCGCATGCCCGCATGCCCGCATGCCCACATGCCCGCATGCCCACATGCCCGCATGCCCACATGCTCGCATGCCCACATGCTCGCATGCCCGCATGCTCGCATGCCCACATGCCCCCATGCTCGCATGCCCACATGCCCGCATGCCCATGCTCGCATGCCCACATGCTCGCATGCCCACATGCCCACATGCCCACATGCCCACATGCCCGCATGCCCACATGCCCGCATGCCCACATGCCCGCATGCCCGCGTGCCCACATGCCCGCATGCCCGCATGCCCACATGCCCACATGCCCACATGCCCGCATGCCCACATGCCCACATGCCCGCATGCCCACATGCTCGCATGCCCACATGCTCGCATGCCCGCATGCCCACATGCCCGCATGCCCACATGCCCGCATGCCCACATGCCCGCATGCCCGCATGCCCGCATGCCCGCATGCCCGCATGCCCGCATGCCCGCATGCCCGCATGCCCGCATGCCCGCATGCCCACATGCCCACATGCCCGCATGCCCACATGCCCGCATGCCCACATGCCCGCATGCCCGCATGCACGCATGCCCACATGCCCACATGCCCACATGCCCGCATGCCCGCATGCCCGCATGCCCGCATGCCCACATGCCCGCATGCCCACATGCCCACATGCCCACATGCCCACATGCCCACATGCCCGCATGCCCGCATGCCCGCATGCCCGCATGCCCACATGCCCACATGCCCACATGCCCGCATGCCCGCATGCCCGCATGCCCGCATGCCCGCATGCCCACATGCCCACATGCCCCCATGCCCACATGCCCACATGCCCGCATGCCCGCATGCCCGCATGCCCGCATGCCCGCATGCCCGCATGCCCGCATGCCCGCATGCCCGCATGCCCGCATGCCCGCATGCCCCCATGCCCCCATGCCCACATGCCCCCATGCCCGCATGCCCACATGCCCACATGCCCGCATGCCCGCATGCCCACATGCTCGCATGCCCACATGCCCACATGCCCGCATGCTCACATGCCCACATGCCCACATGCCCACATGCCCACATGCCCGCATGCCCACATGCCCCCATGCCCGCATGCCCGCATGCCCGCATGCCCACATGCCCGCATCGCATGCCCGCATGCCCACATGCCCGCATGCCCACATGCCCGCATGCCCGCATGCCCACATGCCCGCATGCCCGCATGCCCACATGCCCGCATGCCCACATGCCCCCATGCCCACATGCCCGCATGCCCGCATGCCCGCATGCCCACATGCCCGCATGCCCACATGCCCACATGCCCGCATGCCCCCATGCCCCCATGCCCACATGCCCACATGCCCACATGCCCACATGCCCACATGCCCGCATGCCCACATGCCCGCATGCCCACATGCCCACATGCCCGCATGCCCACATGCCCGCATGCCCACATGCCCGCATGCCCGCATGCCCGCATGCCCGCATGCCCGCATGCCCGCATGCCCGCATGCCCGCATGCCCGCATGCCCCCATGCCCGCATGCCCGCATGCCCGCATGCCCGCATGCCCGCATGCCCGCATGCCCGCATGCCCGCATGCCCACATGCCCGCATGCCCACATGCCCGCATGCCCACATGCCCGCATGCCCACATGCCCACATGCCCGCATGCCCACATGCCCACATGCCCGCATGCCCGCATGCCCGCACCGCATGCCCGCATGCCCGCATGCCCGCATGCCCGCATGCCCGCATGCCCGCATGCCCGCATGCCCGCATGCCCGCATGCCCGCATGCCCGCATGCCCGCATGCCCGCATGCCCACATGCCCACATGCCCGCATGCCCGCATGCCCGCATGCCCGCATGCCCACATGCCCGCATGCTCGCATGCCCACATGCCCGCATGCCCGCATGCCCGCATGCCCGCATGCCCGCATGCCCGCATGCCCGCATGCCCACATGCCCGCATGCCCGCATGCCCACATGCACATGCCCACATGCCCGCATGCCCGCATGCCCGCATGCCCGCATGCCCACATGCCCGCATGCCCACATGCCCCCATGCCCCCATGCCCGCATGCCCGCATGCCCGCATGCCCACATGCCCGCATGCCCACATGCCCGCATGCCCGCATGCCCGCATGCCCGCATGCCCACATGCCCGCATGCCCCCATGCCCGCATGCCCGCATGCCCGCATGCCCGCATGCCCGCATGCCCGCATGCCCGCATGCCCGCATGCCCGCATGCCCGCATGCCCGCATGCCCGCATGCCCGCATGCCCGCATGCCCCCATGCCCGCATGCCCGCATGCCCGCATGCCCGCATGCCCGCATGCCCGCATGCCCGCATGCCCGCATGCCCGCATGCCCGCATGCCCGCATGCCCGCATGCCCGCATGCCCGCATGCCCGCATGCCCGCATGCCACATGCCCGCATGCCCGCATGCCCGCATGCCCGCATGCCCACATGCCCGCATGCCCACATGCCCGCATGCTCACATGCCCACATGCCCGCATGCCCGCATGCTCGCATGCCCACATGCCCGCATGCCCCCATGCTCGCATGCCCCCATGCCCCCATGCCCGCATGCCCGCATGCCCCCATGCCCGCATGCCCCCATGCCCGCATGCCCGCATGCCCGCATGCCCGCATGCCCGCGTGCTCGCATGCCCACATGCCCGCATGCTCGCATGCCCGCATGCCCGCATGCCCGCATGCCCGCATGCCCGCATGCCCTCATGCCCGCATGCCCGCATGCTCGCATGCCCGCATGCCCGCATGCTCGCATGCCCACATGCCCACATGCCCACATGCCCACATGCCCGCATGCCCACATGCCCGCATGCCCGCATGCCCGCATGCCCACATGCCCGCATGCCCACATGCCCACATGCCCACATGCCCGCATGCCCGCATGCCCACATGCCCGCATGCCCACATGCCCGCATGCCCACATGCCCACATGCCCGCATGCCCACATGCCCACATGCCCACATGCCCGCATGCCCGCATGCCCACATGCCCGCATGCCCACATGCCCACATGCCCGCATGCCCGCATGCCCACATGCCCACATGCCCGCATGCCCGCATGCCCGCATGCCCGCATGCCCGCATGCCCGCATGCCCACATGCCCGCATGCCCACATGCCCGCATGCCCGCATGCCCGCATGCCCGCATGCCCGCATGCCCGCATGCCCGCATGCCCGCATGCCCGCATGCCCACATGCCCGCATGCCCACATGCCCGCATGCCCACATGCCCACATGCCCACATGCCCACATGCCCGCATGCCCGCATGCCCGCATGCCCGCATGCCCGCATGCCCGCATGCCCGCATGCCCGCATGCCCGCATGCCCACATGCCCGCATGCCCACATGCCCACATGCCCGCATGCCCACATGCTCGCATGCTCGCATGCCCACATGCCCGCATGCCTGCATGCCCACATGCCCTCATGCCCGCATGCCCGCATGCTCGCATGCCCTCATGCCCGCATGCCCGCATGCTCGCATGCCCACATGCCCGCATGCTCGCATGCCCACATGCCCACATGCCCGCATGCCCACATGCCCACATGCCCGCATGCCCACATGCCCACATGCCCGCATGCCCACATGCCCGCATGCCCACATGCCCGCATGCCCACATGCCCACATGCCCGCATGCCCGCATGCCCGCATGCCCACATGCCCGCATGCCCGCATGCCCACATGCCCGCATGCCCGCATGCCCACATGCCCACATGCCCACATGCCCACATGCCCGCATGCCCACATGCCCGCATGCCCACATGCCCACATGCCCGCATGCCCGCATGCCCGCATGCCCGCATGCCCGCATGCCCACATGCCCACATGCCCGCATGCCCACATGCCCACATGCCCGCATGCCCACATGCCCGCATGCCCGCATGCCCGCATGCCCGCATGCCCGCATGCCCGCATGCCCGCATGCCCGCATGCCCACATGCCCGCATGCCCGCATGCCCCCATGCCCACATGCCCGCATGCCCGCATGCCCACATGCCCACATGCCCGCATGCCCACATGCCCGCATGCCCACATGCCCCCATGCCCGCATGCCCACATGCCCGCATGCCCCCACATGCCCGCATGCCCGCATGCCCGCATGCCCACATGCCCACATGCCCGCATGCCCACATGCCCGCATGCCCACATGCCCGCATGCCCGCATGCCCGCATGCCCGCATGCCCACATGCCCGCATGCCCACATGCCCGCATGCCCACATGCCCGCATGCCCACATGCCCGCATGCCCACATGCCCGCATGCCCGCATGCCCGCATGCCCGCATGCCCGCATGCCCACATGCCCGCATGCCCGCATGCCCGCATGCCCACATGCCCGCATGCCCACATGCCCACATGCCCACATGCCCACATGCCCGCATGCCCACATGCCCGCATGCCCACATGCCCGCATGCCCCCATGCCCACATGCCCCCCGCATGCCCCCATGCCCGCATGCCCGCATGCCCACATGCCCGCATGCCCGCATGCCCACATGCCCACATGCCCGCATGCCCACATGCCCGCATGCCCACATGCCCACATGCCCACATGCCCACATGCCCGCATGCCCACATGCCCACATGCCCGCATGCCCACTTGCCCGCATGCCCACATGCCCACATGCCCACATGCCCACATGCCCACATGCCCGCATGCCCACATGCCCGCATGCCCGCATGCCCGCATGCCCGCATGCCCGCATGCCCGCATGCCCGCATGCCCACATGCCCGCATGCCCACATGCCCGCATGCCCACATGCCCGCATGCCCACATGCCCACATGCCCACATGCCCACATGCCCGCATGCCCACATGCCCGCATGCCCACATGCCCGCATGCCCACATGCCCCCATGCCCACATGCCCCCATGCCCACATGCCCGCATGCCCACATGCCCACATGCCCGCATGCCCGCATGCCCACATGCCCGCATGCCCCCATGCCCACATGCCCGGACATGCTGTGGGTTGACTTCCCCAGGGGCGAGTTCCTGATGAACCGGGTCAACGGAGTCAAGGCCAGTCTCTCCCTCCTTCTACCTTTTCTTCGCCTTCCCTCTCCTCCTTGGCAGGACATGCTGTGGGTTGACTTCCCCAGGGGCGAGTTCCTGATGAACCGGGTCAACGGGGTCAAGGCCAGTCTCGTCCTCCTTTGGATTCTCTCTTCACTTACTGGCCCTCCCCTTCCCCCCTGCCAGGACATGCTGTGGGTTGACTTCCCTCGGGGCGAGTTCCTGATGAACCGGGTCAACGGAGTCAAGGCCAGTCTCTTCCTGCCCATATCGCCTCAACCCCCTTCCGTGCCCTTACTCTTCCCCCAACCCCCCTTGCCAGGACATGCTGTGGGTTGACTTCCCCAGGGGCGAGTTCCTGATGAACCGGGTCAACGGGCTCAAGGCCAGTCTCTTCCTTCTTTCAATTCTCCCTTCCTTTCACCCCACCCGATTCCTCACAACACTATTCTCCTCAACCTGTCAGGACATGCTGTGGGTTGACTTCCCCAGGGGCGAGTTCCTGATGAACCGGGTCAACGGGCTCAAGGCCAGTCTCTTCCTGCCGTGCCATCCGCTTAGGGGCGTGCTGCAGGTGGAAGGGCGGACAGCAGACACGGCCACTGTGGGGTTTGCTTATCAGGTAGGGTGGGTGGGATGGGAGGAGAATGAGTGTACTTGCTTTTCCAGGGGAGAGTTCTTGTGGGAAAGATTTGTCTACTGTGTGATAAGAGATAAGGTGTTGTTTTTGTCCACTGTTTGCGTGTGTGACGCCGTCACTCTTCCGTGCCTTTCCTTCTCGCTCTTTTTCCCTTCACTTCTCTCTTCTTTCCTTCCCTCTCATTCCCTTCTCACTCTCCCCAGCACCCCTTGGGAACGCGTGTGACACCCTCACTCTCCCGTTCCCTCCCCTTCCGTTCAACTTCTTCCCTCCGCGTTCTTTCACTCTCCCCAGCACCCCTTGGGAACGCGTGTGACGCCCTCATTCTCTCTCGCCGATTGGAGGTGCTTCAGAACTTTTTGAGAGACGTCTCAAAAGTCCTTCCTTTCTCTTCTCTTTCCTTCCCGTCTCACTCTCCCCAGCACCCTTTGGGAACGCGTGTGACGCCCTCATTCTCTCCCCCTTTTCCTCCTCTCCTCCCCTCTCCTCTCCCCCCACAGCACCCCTTGGGAACGCGTGTGACGCCCTCATTCTCTCCCCCTTTTCCTCCTCTCCTCCCCTCTCCTTCTCTCCCCCCACAGCACCCCTTCGGAACGCGTGTGACGCCCTCATTCTCCCTCGCCGATCGCGGACTGTCAGTGGAGGTGCTTCAGCCAATCACAGTGCGACAGCTGGGACCCGCTGTCAAGCCAGAAGCCCAAATACGGTACGCTTCGGAGCACACACGGTACACGGGCTGTTTCGGATCAGTTCTTCATAGCCTGTGTAATTTTGCAAGTCTGATTTATTGCGTACTTACATTTCAAAATACTGAAAATGACCTGCACTTCTTTTTGTTTTTCCAACGAAATTCATCTAATATATTTTCATCATTTTTTCTATACTTTTTCTTGGTTTCTCTATCTTCTGTTTCCCCAGGTTCAAGAGCACGATATCGGGCACGAGGCAAGGGTGGGAGATGGAGACAACACGCTTCCTGGGAACCAATGAGATAGTGGGGGGAGCAGCAGAGGCGTCTCAAGGCGGACTGGCAGTCAGTGTGGGGTACAAGGCCGGGGTGGCACCTGTTGCCTTCTTCACCCTCTTTGTAAGCACGTCACCTTTCACTCCTCATAAGCACCTAACAATTCCCTCTTCACAAGCACGTCACATCCTCGTAAGCGCATTTCAAGGCAGACTGGCAGTCAGTGTTGGGTACAAGGCCGGGGTGGCACCTGTTGCCTTCTTCACCCTCTTTGTAAGCACGTCACCTTTCACTCCTCATAAGCACCTAACAATTCCCTCTTCACAAGCACGTCACATCCTCGTAAGCGCATTTCAAGGCAGACTGGCAGTCAGTGTTGGGTACAAGGCCGGGGTGGCACCTGTTGCCTTCTTCACCCTCTTTGTAAGCCCATCGCTCCCTTGTTACATGTTACACTCTCAAGAAATATCCAGTCCATTTCTACACAATTAGCGTTTTGCGCTTACGAAATGTTTTTTATTTTCTTTTCTCCCCCCCCCCCTTTTTTTTTTTACTATCTCTCTGTCCTGGCATGGCAGGGAGGGGGTCGCAGGAGGCGGAAAACAGCAGTGACAGGCAAGGGAGCTGGTTACCAGCTGAGGCTGGAATTTCCACCGTCCAATCTCAGACGAGCAGTGATCTCATGGGATGCTACCCATGGGATAGATTTCTAGTGTCAATACCTCGGAAAATAACAGCAGTGACAGGCAATGGAGCTGATTACCAGCAGCTTGACATCAAAATCAGGTGTAGTTCTGTTCTGGTGGTACGGTAGTATCCAGTCCAGGTATATCTGGGCATGGCTTACCCACCTAGCACCTGCATGTTGTTATGAAGCATGCCCGACACAAATCTGCTCTTGTGGGTCCTTCCAAACCAATGCACGTGTGGGACCATTCATAGTAGTTGGAAAGGCTTTGTAACATAGTATCATACATTATATTACTAAGACTAAAACATGGTACAAGAGGATGCACCTGCTCAAAACAGCCCTGTAAAAATGGAACTGGTGGTGGTCGCTCATTTGCACGTTTTCACCTTAGTCTTGAAAAACAACTGAACATGTCAGATATCGGCACCAACTTATCACGTTATCAGGTGCGTGCATCGGTTCAGATCAGACTCCTAAGAACGCAGGGGGCTTCATGGGTGGAGGAATGAGGGATGAGTGCAGGGGGATGGGATGAGTGCAGGGGGATGGGATGAGTGCAATGAGGGAAATGGAATTCACTGGGCAAAGGAGGGAATAGCAGAGAGGGTGAGCATAGATAGAGGAAATGAGGAATGGGCACAGGGGGGTGAGGGTAAGGAAGGGGAACGAAGGGTGGGTGCTGCAGGGGGGATGAGGGATGAGGGCAGGGGGGGGTGAGGGAATGGGGAATGGATGAGCGGAGGGGGAAAGGGTGGGGATGGGAAAGGGACGGGCTCAGGGAAAAAGGGTGGGCACAGGGGGTATGCAGGAGCACAGATGGAATGAGGGATAAACACAAGGGGAATAAGGGGTGAGCGCAGGGGGGAGGAGAGGGGATGAGAGGTAATCCGCAGGGGGATGAGGAATAACGGTGGGGGAATGAAAGGTGAGCGCAGGGGGGGGGGAAAGGTATCAGCGCTGAGAGAATACGGATGAGCGTAGGGGGGGCGAGGGGTGAGCGCAGGGGGGGGGGGGAGGTATCAGCGCTGAGAGAATATGCGGATGAGCGTAGGGGGGCGAGGGGTGAGCGCAGGGGGGGGAAGCTATCAGCACTGAGTGAATACGGATGAGCGCAGGGGGACGAGGGGTGAGCGCAGGGGGAGGAAGGTATCAGCGCTGAGAGAATACGGAGGAGCGCAGGGGGGCGAGGGGTGAGCGAAATGGGAAATGCGGTGAGGGCGAGTGACGGGGAGATGGGACGAGCGGAGGCAAGACGGAGTGAGGAGACAAGATTGCTGCCATGCAATGGCGAAAGGAGAGAGAGTAGGCGAAAGGACGGGGGGAGGGGGAGGGGAGGGGGCGGGAAGGGGGCGGGAAGGGAAACGGAGATTTTCGAAAATTCTCAGAACTCGCATCCGTGCTCCACTTCACGATGCCTCTGATTATTAAGTTCAGCAGTGTTACCGTCCATCAAAGAGCGCGTCAGCGGCGTCTAATTAGAAGACATTAATGCCCGCGTCAGCAGCTGACGCGCTTCACACGGACATGGCGTTTCTAGGTTTAGCTGTAAAGCATGCGAGATCGTCAGATCTACTTACGACGCGAAAATCAATCTTAAAACCCGGGGGCCAAGAAGGCCAAAATTGGTTCATCCTTCCTAGTGATGGTTGGATGTCACAAAACGCCTGTGATTATTCCCGAGTTTTGAGCCCTCGACCAACATTTTGGACACTCCTATTGGTTCGCGGGCCAATATCGTTTTCACTCCCAACCAACCTTCCTAAGGTTGAACTTCTTGGCCCCCGGGTTTTACGGAAGTACAAATTGCGTGACCGCTCTAGCATGAGCTCAACGAGTGGGATTTCGGCATCCGTCGAAAGTCCCTTCGCGAAGTAATGGTTTTAAGAGATAGACTTGTCATTCCTAGTATCGAAAATAGTACGCATCTGAAACTACTGCTACTATTCGCCACGTAACGACCAAGGGTGGTAGGATCTGAAGCGGAATCAACCGATAACAAGAGAAGCAAGTGCAGTTCACAGGAGAGGCGAGATTGCTTACTAATCTAAGTTCTAAGATCTGAGACTCCCAAAGACCAGATCTGAGGCAGGAAGCGAGGACAGCAGCAACAACGTCGATAGGAATGTTAGGAATGTTATATATAGATCGTAATCATTTACAAGGCTATACAGAGCGAAAAGAGAATGGCTAAGCTAGCCAACCTCCTAGGAAGAAGGTGTGTAAAACAACACAAATCCTCTGTCCTGTAGGACAGCCCCTGTGTATAGGGGTCGCTCTGCATAGGAGGCGGCAGGGGGCACTAAGGTGGGCGGAACGTGTCGTTCAAGAGCCATGAGGCACGCAGATCAGGGTGAATTTCAGGAACACCATCATTAGTGAAGGTGAAAAAACGGGAAGTCTTGGCATAGGAGATGGCTGCAGCAGCACGACGCCGTTTCTTGGTGGAGTGCCTCTCATTACACCAGAGGAAGATCTTGAAAGCGACGAGGAGCTGGGCAAGAATGAGTTGAAGAATTTCGAACGTGTTGATATGGGAGTCCCGGTATTTGCGCTCACAGCGGGCATTCCAAAGCGCCTTGGCAGCAGCACCAACTAAAAGACTCCAAGGCGCTCGTTGACCGGCACGAGATGGCAGAGGGAAAAACACTTGTTCCGTGGAGATGGAGAGACCTAGGTGGCGGTGGGCCACTGCACGGAGCGACGTAGTGACCGGAACAGCAACCCCGCACTCAAAGAAGATATGGGAGCTGGTCTCGAGACGACCGGCGACACAGGAGGAGCAGATACCATGGTCGGCGGCAAAGTTGAAGCGGGAACCGGACGCAAGTGTACGTGTATAGAAGCGGTAGAGAAGATCACGTTGAAGGCTGGGTTGGTCCCGAAGGAAGGAGTGGGAGAGATCCGGTAAACATGAAGGTGGAGGACCAGAGAGAGCAGCTGACCATCGAGTGTCAGGATTAAGCGGTTGCCGTTTGTAGAGGAGGCGGCGAATGGCGGCAAGAGGAGGAGGACCATCTGAAAGGATCGCCAATCTTGCTCCTAAACCTGTCCCTTCGTGGAAAGGCCCCAGCAGCCGTCTACCCTGAACATGAACTGGTAAGACATGGTTAATATCGAAAGTCATAATGTCTAGTGATTCCCTGTCAATAAGATTGGAGGGAGATACTCGAAAAATCCTAGCACATAGGGAAGAAGGGGGGGTGAAGGAGGGGGCCTCAAATGCCAATAGCGGTCGTTCTGCCAAGCTATGAGTTGGAATAAACCAGTCCCCTAATGCAACCTCTGGGGGAGGGGGTGAAAGGAGGGTGCGTTTCCACTCAGGCGGTATCGCGAGGAGAATTTTTCCAAGTAGACTGCGGCCAGAAGGGTACTTGGAGGGGGGCCACTGTTGGATAAATTCCTCCTCAGAGATGGGACGACAAGAAGGGTGGTTAGACCGGAAAATGTGCCCAACACGAAGTTGGAGAGTAAGCAAGAAACGCTCATGCTTACGAGTGCCAAAGGGAGTTTTATTGGGTTTAAGGATGAACCGGTTAAACGCAAGCGGCTCTGCCAGCAGACACCGGCTCGAGGCGAGGGGGGAGGACGGTTGGCTTGAGAGACAGGAAGTTTTCCAACTCATCACGGGTGCGGCGGGGAGTAGAGGGTGGGAGAACCGACTTGTGCAAGATCGAAGCATGAGCCAGAAAAGCGTGCGCGCCATATGGAAGCGGAATGCATGTGCGGGCAATGGACTCCGCAGAAGAGGTACCAAACCGACGCAGAGCTCGTTGGATCGAGAGGGCTTGGATTTGAGTGGAGGGGGCGATCGCGCCCAAGCCACCATGACGCACTTTATTATAAAGCAACCGCTTTGGGATCAGCCGGACACCGAGTCCGTGGTCTTTGTACTGTGAGGCAGAGAGGAAGTTCCCAACCGTTTGATCAAGGCGGGTGCGGATATCCTTCGAGGTTGGCTGGAATCGAGCCGGGAACGAAATGACCGAGTTGAGAAAGGTTGTGGCTAAGTGTTTCCGGCAGGAGGCGGTGGCACGCAGGGACGAGAGGTATTTGGCGATGCGTTGGACCCGCGTGAGCGTGTTTGACCAAGTAGTGGTGCCCGGGGAATCTAGTTCAACAAAAATACCTAAAATACGCTCTGCTTCATGAGGTTTACGGATGGGAATTGGCCCGGCAGAGGAGATAGATTGCGGTGAAACGTTAAAAGGGATAAGCGAGCATTTTTCCCAATTAGGGAATTCTCCGGATACGGAGGCAAATTGAGAGAGCACTATTAGGGCAGAATCCAGCTCGGCATTCGAGTTAAGGAACATGGTAATGTCGTCCGCGTAGCTGGCCATAAGGCGACGTTGAGTTTTTGAGAGAGCAAAGCCAGGAAGGTGAGCCGCCGAGAAGCGGTAGAATATTTCTACAACACAGATGAATAGGAGGGGCGCCAGGGGACAGCCTTGACGGACCCCAGTATTAACTGGGAAGAGGGGGCCTTCGAGGTTGTTAACCGCAATACAGGTCGAAGTGCCGGAGTGCATCAAGCGAACCCAATGGATAAATTCATCGGGGATGCCCAAATGTGCGAGGCAGCGAAAGAGAAAGAGACGATCAACGGAGTCGTAAGCCTTGCGCAGATCGACAGTGAGGACGAGTAGGGGAGATGCAGAAAACGTGGCCCAGTCCATAATATCGAGAATATCGTTGATTGTGTCACCAATTTTCCGCTTGGGCATAAATGCCGTTTGGGATGGGTGTATCATGAGCGGGAGGGCTCGTTGGAGGCGATTAGCAAGTCAAATCGCAAGAATTTTGTAGTCTGCATTCATGAGAGTGATAGGGCGCAAATTGTCCGGGCGAGAGGAGTCGCCCTTTTTAGGAATGAGGACAGTCCGGCCACGAAGCATAGAAGGTGGGAGGGAGGTGAAGGGGACGGGGGGATTAAGTAACGAGTGGAAGAGTGGGACAAATCGGGGCTTAAGATGACGATATAGCTCGCCTGGGAGGCCATCCGGACCCGGGGTTTTCCCACGGGAAAGCAGAGAGATGGCATAACTTATTTCAAGTAATGTAAACGGGGCAGCCAGAGTAGAGGTGAGTGATGAAGGGAGGGTAGTACGAGGCACGTGTTGCCAGAAGGACTCGTCACGCGAGATAAAGGTATTGCCACTGTAGAGGGATTTGAAAAATGCAGAGCAAACTGCAGTCATGGTAGGGAGGTGCGATGTTGTCTGACCAGTCGGGAGGATGATGGACGAGATGAGAGCCGCTTTGGTACGAGAGCCAAGCCCAACAAGGAGAGACGATAGACCCATTTCCCGATGGGTTTCAACTTTCAGCTTTGCTTTCAGAGCTACTTCAGATATTTTGGTGGTTTCATATGCTACAAGTTGTTGTTTGGCTCGAAGCAACGGTACTGTGACTGAGGGGTCAGGGGGAACAGAGGAGGCTTGGTGTTGTAGAGAGCAGATTAGGTGACGAAGATGCACAATGGTCTTGTCCACACGACACCGTTCCAGAGAGGAGAAACGCTTCAGGGCGAGGCAAAGGCGAAACTTCCACAGGTCCCAGTCAATGGGGGATAAGGAGGGGGGGAGGAGACGGATATGTTCATCTATGATGCGCGAGGTGTTGGGGCGGGTCAGCAGTGAGGTGCTGAGGCACCACGGGCGAGGAACAGTAGTCGGGTTGTCAAAGAGGAAAGAGCAAAGCGGGGCAAGCGCATGATCAGAGACACCAGAAGGAATGAGAAGATAGGGAGACGCGGCGAGGCGGGGGCGAAGCGAGGCGGATATGTACACGCGATCAAGACGAGCGGCGGGGAGGGGTGAGGATGGGCCTGGGGTGATACGAGAGCGGCCAAAGTAAGAGAAGAGGGTAACATTGGGATGAAGGGCCCGGAAGGCATCCACAAGAGAGTGTTGCGACATAAGGGTAGAGAATAAGGATGCCTCACTACGTTCATAGCCATGAAGGGCCCGGTTACGGTCCGCCCCAGAGTCGACCGAGTTAAAATCCCCCACAACGACGGTATATGGGGCGGCTGAGGGTGCCGCCAGGGACGGGGAGAGGGTGGAGTGCCACCAGCAGCGTCGTTCTAGCGTCGAAACCGGGGCGTAGAGCGCAAGCAGCCGAAATTGTTCATTGAGATAATTCAGGTGGACAAGAAGAAGTCTCCCATCCGTTGAGGGTTCATGGGAGGAAATAGTGATATCTTTACGAAAAACTAATACGGAGATTCCACCGGGAGAAGGGTGCGACGATGTACAAGGAGCAGCGGCATACGAATGTGCTGCAGGGCGGAGTGTAAGTTGTAGCTTGGGTAGATTGTTTGAAAGGTGCGTATCAACGAGAACAAGAATATCAATTTTGACAGGTTGCGAAGAAATCCAATATTTGAGGCAATTCATTTTATAAGGGTGATTGATTCCATTAACATTGAGCGTAAGAATGCGGAGAAAAGTTTTCATGGTTGCACACTTGAGCCCCCCCGCACTGGTTGTAGTGCGGATCCACGGGGGAAGGGAGGCCCGCACGGGTTGTGGTGCAAGCTCAAACATAGGGCGATAGGGTTGAAACTGTCCAGAGGAAGCGGAAGACCAGAGACAAGTACTGAGCTAATCCATGAGACACATGCTGCAAATTTCCTTAGATTCAGGCACGCATGAAGGTTGCAATGCGCGGCTCCTCGAGCAGGGTTAAAGCACGCCAAGTACTGTACTTTTCCTTGGCCGGAGGGAGGTGAGAGGTGGCACGCAGCTGCGTGGCGTGCTGACCGGAAGCCATGTGAGACATAGCGCTGTCGAGAGCCTTTCCGCAGCGGAAATCGCAGAGGACGCAGGTCCATGTTTCGACGAGCGAGTCGAGCCCAATGAAGAGCAGGCCAGGGTCGTTGCGGAACGACACAGGCACAGCATGTGCGCCAAGGATCTGGCCTGCCATGGGTTGATAGCAGGGAACGAGAAGCAGCCACAAGGGGGTGGGTGGTATGAAAGGGGAGATCGCATTTGGGGGGGCCACGAAATTCCGACGAAATTAAGGGAGGGCTGGTGTAGAAAAACATGGGCAGTAGTGCCTGCGAGAGGCAGAACTGCAAGGAGAGGATTAAGTGGATCCGGTGGGGGTACAGTTTAGTGACCAGGCCAAGGGTAAACTGTTGAGAGCTGATGTAGAAAAGGGCAGGGGAGATCACGAAGGGCGGAGAGTATAAGGGGGGCTGAAAACGCTCAGGGCCCAGGGACAGCACCGAAGGCGGGGCAGATTGCAGGGGATATGGGGGTGCAAAAAGGGTAGTGAAAGTTGCATGGGACAGGGGCATATCACCAGAGAACGGTTGGAACACCAGGAAGCGTCTTAGAAGTGAGGCAGATATGAGGTGGGAAAGCAGGCAGGGCATCCTACGCCATATACGAACAGGTGGGGAGGGCCTCATTGGCAAGAATTGGTCACCTCCACGAGATAGGTCAGAACTAATAATGGAGGGCAGGGGAGTGGCTTTGTGGATGGGGAAAATCAGAGGGCCAGGGTGAAGCAAGTGTAAAGGAGAGCAGCGAGAAAAGGGAGGCATTACGTTCTGATGCAAGGGGGTGATTGATTCGGTTAAGGTGGAAGGACACGGGGCAGAAGTAGTGCAGAGATAATATGCAGTGGTACGACAGTACACACCATTGGTTTGCTGGAGCTGGCCAACCGAGATAGTGTGCTTGTTGGGGAGGCGCTGCCTACGGCGCGCCGCAAAGGACTCATGGTCCGCATCCCGGTGGTTGCTCGCGCAGAAGGAGCACGTGTGAGACGAGAAGTTGAGCAGCATGGGTAGGCCTCCTTCCTCCAGGGGGATGGACGCCGGGATGCGTTTGAAGGTATGGTCATCAGGGCATGGTATCGGGAGTCCATCCATAATCGTGAAGGCCACTCCCTCAAAGGGGTCCGAGACCCGGTGGAAGTGCTGGAGGTCCTCAAGCCACGGCAGGCCATCCTCCGTCGTGGCGTTCAGGAGGAACTCCTTAATGTCGTCCGGGTCGTAACCAATGGGAACATTGCGGACAGAGAGTGTGGTCGCGCCGTTGATCTTGGAGGCGGTAAATTCAGGATGGGGGTCGTCATACGCCTTGAGAAGGACGGTTCGGGAGGAGGCAAGCCTTAGGGAGAGCGGGAAGAGGCGGCGGAAGGCCGCAGCGTCGTCGGCAGAGGGCCAGGAGAACAAAAGCCGGGCGTACAAGCGTCTCGGGACCCGGAGCGCCTCACCACGTAGCCTCGTAAGGAGGAATGGTTCCGTTCGGGAACATGTGTCCCCGGAGGAGGGCGGACCAAAATGTCGGCCCGATTCGCGTCAGCACCAGCTTCCGGCAGCAGAAGGGTGACTACCGCCCGGCGGCGGCGGGGGAGAGAAACCGAACCCGCAACGGCCAAACGCGGGCGGCGGAGGGGGCGGGGAGGTGGGGGCTCCGCTGCCGCCGACACCGGGACTGCCCCATTCACGTGGACCGGCTGAGTAGGCGGAGGAGACGTCGGGGGAGCCATGGCAGGCTCGGGGCTGGGAGTGGGCACCGGGGGGGGCTGGTTGACTTGCGCCCGGGGGTTGAGGACAGATTGCACGAGCATGTTCTGCCCCTGCTGAGGGGCTGATGCAGTGCGCGCATTCGGGGGAGTCGCCAAAACACCCGCGGAGGTCCCGGGGTTACCATCATCAGACCCATCCGTGGCAACACAAGGCTTCTTGGCAGCAGGAGAGTCATCACCGCCGAGGTCCTCAAGCGGGAGGTCGTCAATGGGATCGTCAAGAAGGAACTCCTCCCCGGTCGGGTCGGGAGTGTCATCCGACATGACGTGGTCCATGGAGAAAAGTTGTGCAGCCATAGAAGACAGCGTATGTGAGGAGTTGCGAACCGGTGAGTTGAAGAGTAAACGAGACCAATGACTGGAGGAGTAGGGTGGAATGTTTAAATAGGAGAGGGAGGAGGAGTAGCATGGCGGACCAGTGGGGAGGCCGAGGGGTGATGAGGAGGGGAGGCATTTGGCGCGTCGCGAGGAGAGGCCAGGGCGTGGAAGCTGAGAGGGCGGATTGCACTTAGCAGTAAGTTGTAACTGCTCTAGGGCGATTCGCGGGGGGAGACGAAGAGGCGGCCAGAAACAGTTATGCAGAGTGGGGGAAAGTGGATCGTCATAGGAGGGAACGCATAGGCAGAGGCCACAGCGAACCAGAGAAGCAGACTGGGAGCCTAAGCGGCGTCCCGAGTCGCAGCGCCATGAAGGCAGTAATAACAGTAAGCGCTGGAAGGCGAACGGGTGAGTGGTGGTAGTCACGTGAGGAGAGACGAAAAGACAGCCACGTAGGGTCGCAGGTGTGTTAGAAGTGTAGCGAGGGCTGACGGGGGTGGGAGACAAGGGATAGGAGGGGGGAGTTTGCAGCCAGCCTGGTTGCAGGGATAACCCAGGTGGGGAGAACGGGCCGAGCAGAAGACTTCGCGGAGAAGAGAAGCAGGTGGGGGTAGCTTGGTTGGCGCAGGCGGAATCTGCTTTTGAAAGAGCTGCCAGGGGGGGGGGACGATCGGTTGGGCAGGGGGCTTGCTGCAGCAGAAACTTGTGTGGCAAAAACAGCACTTGGGTTAGAAAGTTTAAGCACACGAACCAGAAAAAAAAAAAAGGAAAACGGGTTGGAGAATGAAATCGTGAGGCAAGGTTGCGGGGAAATATATGTTGGTGTGGGAAGCGAAGAGTCGGGCCGTGGATGATAAACCAACCGCTTACTGGCGCCAGGGCTGGGGCAGATGAAGAGTTGAGGCGAAATCCGCGAAACTGTCGTGGCAGCACTTGCTGAACGGTTGCAGGTTGGTAATTTGAAAGGGAGGGCGAAGTGCCCGCGGGCTGCTGAGAAGCACGGGAACCACCAAAGCAAAATGAAAACCAAGCAAAAACAGAGCTTACCTAAAAACCTACCGTCGTCCAGCGTGAGGTCGAGGGAGAGGAGCCAGTCGAGGTGGCTAAAGGCTAGACCTACGAGGATTAGGGACGGGCGAAGGCTCCTGCTGTGCATGGTTCGGAAACCAGGGGGCTGCGGTGGATTAGATTCGCTCCTCGGGCGTGTCTGCAGCGGTCACAAGGAGGGAGAAGGTGGGGTGGCAGAAGGTGGGGTAGCAACAACGTCGATAATAGCGAGCAGGTGGTTGGTGCACCCACCCAGACCCCGTTACAGTGATTTGCTAGCTTTGCTTGTTTTGATTACCTTGGTTTTACAGTTCCCAATCTCTTACATTTTTCGTTCGAATTTGCTTCCCTTCCTTCCTCTCTCGGTTCTTCATTGCCCTCGGTTTCCCATTCCGATTGGTCCTTGCAGAGTTTTCCATCCAACCAGTTCCATTTCAGCTGCCCAAACTCTGGTTTAGCCGGAGCCGAACTCGTATCAGCAGCAGAGATCTTTAAAAAATTTCCAGCTTCATGCTGTTGCCGTCCCGTAACTCACGCAAAATAATATGTCCCGACTATTTCCTAACCTGCCCGTGTCTCAGAACCTCCCTGTAGGGCTGGCCCAATCTTGTGTCACACTCTGTATACGAGCAAAGTCACACCCAATACAACGAAACCAAACTAAGCAGGAATGTGTTCAACAAATTAGAAAACTGAGAACACGAAACAGCTACAAGCGGGTATCTGCGCCCCAATTGTTTCATCGCGCCAATCGTTCTGACTACTTCTCAAGATGCGTTGACATCACGAGGGCCAATCAATTTAGCAATCTGGCTGTCGGCTGGCGGCGGGGGGCTCACTCTTTGATCCAAATCGTTAACTTTCAGCGGCGCCATCTACCACCCTCGATTCACAACTTTCAAAACCGCGATTCGCACAGGCAGCACCACACCACTCGAGGCACATCCGCAACCACAAATTCTCGCACCAGTTGCTTCCATATTCACCCCAGTCATTCTGACTCCCTCAGACGCCAAAAGATGCTGGGCTGATGACTTTGGCGGTCTCGCACGGCCGTCGGCGGATTGCATGAGATTGCCGTTCAGAATTAGCGGCGGCATTTTACCATCCTCGATTCACAATCCGCACAACTTTCAGAATTATCGACCGCGAATCGCACAGGCAGCACCACCACATCGCTCGAGGCAAATTCACAAAATCTCCCGGCAGTTGCTCCAATCATATCACCCCAGTCATTCTGATTCCCTTGGACGCCAAAAGATGCTCGGCTGATGATTTTGGCGGTCTCGCACGCCATCGGCGAGCAGCACGAGATTTCATCAAGACCGTTCAGTTTTAGCGGCGGCAGTTTACCGCCGTCGATCCCCGAGCCCCACCCTTCTCAGAGATTCCAACCAAGCGGTTCGCATCGTACACACGGCACTACACCACAAGCAAGCCTTCTCCCATCAGTCAGCTTGAGTAGTCGCTATATATGGACCTTCCAACTTCATTCAGATTGAGGAGCACCGGAAAGCCCGAGTCAGCCCAAGGCATGCAGCAGAGCGTGTGTGCGCTCGCAGCGTCGCGCGTAGGTTCGCAGCATAGGCGCGCAGCATCGCAGGATAGGCGCGCAGCATCGCAGCATAGGCTCGCAGCGCAGCGTCGCAACGTAGGCTCGCAGCGCAGGCTCGCAGCATAGGCTAGCAGCGCACGCTTTGCTACATGCTTTTGGCTGACTCGTGTGCCTCGATGGTGCTCCTCGCCTCGCCTCCCATCTTCGAACGTGCCTACAAGCCTCAACTTGAAGACTGGTGAAGACTGCCGCAATCTGAAGACCTTCGAAGACTATTTCACTTGAAGAATTCGAGGCGTCGCAAGCGACCAGGATAAGGCTTTCGTGCTTTTCTGTTTTAGCTATCATCGGCAGGCCTAATCATAATTGTTTTTGTGATGAACAGGAATATCGTCTTCGACTCAAGCTCCGGTGCCGCTTTCTCCTTAACGCGACAACTTCAGAAGACTTGGAGGCTTCACAAGATCAAGACGGCCGCGACAACGTTATGGCGTCGCGATCTACACGCCGTCCGCGCGGCGTCTCGTCGGCGCCTCACGCCGTCTCGTCGGCGTCCCTCCGCAGGCCTCACGCCATCTCGTCGGCGTCCCTCCGCAGGCCTCACGCCGTCGCGTGGCGTGTCAACGGCTTCCCGGCGTCTCCACGACAACTCCACGCATGTCGGCGCGCGTGGCTTCCCGGCACTACCCTGCGTGGCGCGGCTTCACGGCAACTCCCCGGCGTCTTCACGGCGAGGAGCGACTTCACGGCGAGGAGAGAGGCGCATCTCACGTCCTCGTCGTCTTGTTCTTCTCTTCCGTTCTACCCGCAGCGACAACGAGGACGGCCCTGGAGGAGGCGTGAGCGGGACGGGGCAGGGGTTATGGAGCTGGAAGGGTTGCCCCGCCCGACTAGCTCCATTTCCGCCTCCCGCTCTAACCACCTCTGGGGCACCGGCTCAAGCCAAGACCCAAGCGAGGCGGATGCGAAGACACGAGCGAGGCGATTCAATCCTCTCGTCCTCTCTTTCGTATTTTCAGACCAAGGGCGGAGGAACACAACGGACGAGGAGGACGCAAGGTGTTATCACCTCTTTTTTTTCTTCTCTCTTCTTCCTCCCCAAGGAAGCGGCGAAGGAGCACAAGGCGCGGCAGATCGTGGCTATTAAGGTAATCGTTTGTAAGTCTCTCGAGCTCTGTCGCGCTTTTCGTCGTGCTTTTCGTTGTGATTTATTTCGTGCTTTTGTCGTGCTTTTGTTTTTTCTTTTAACGCGGTAACGGGTGATCTCATTGTTAGCCTCTCATGGTGCAGGCGCAGGCTCAATAAAGCAACACCGACATGAATGTAAAAACGGTAAGGTTCTTTTCCGTTTTTTGCTGCTTTTATTTCGCACGTTTACTAACTCCTTTCCTTTCTTCCTTTTTGGTGCAGGTTACGCGAGGGGAGGCCGCAGGTGTTATCATTTTTTCCCTTCTGTCTCTCCTCAGGTCAATGGAGGAGGAGCACAACGGACGGGAGGTCGTGGCTGGAGGAACGAAACCAAGGGTGAGTTTCTCTACCTATGTCGTTTTTGTCGCGCTTTGTCGTGCTTTTCTTGTCGTTGTTTTTCCTGTTATTTCTGTTCTTGTTTTCATCTTGTTTCCATCAGTTTTACTAACGTTTTTCCGTGTTTTAGTGCGCAGGTTTCGTGGAGGGGAGGCCGCTGGATCTTTCACCGTTTTCTCCCTCTCCTTCCTTTCCAGGCCATGGCGGAGGAGCAGACGGACGGCACGGCACGGCACGGCACGGCACGGCACGGCACGGCACGGCACAACACGGCACGGCACGGCACGGCACGGCACGGCACGGCACGGCACAGCACGGCACGGCTCAAGGGTGAGAGTTGGTAAGGTACGCGGGTGGCGAGTAGGAGCGACGGGGTGGCGAGTAGGAGCGACCACGTGGTACAGGTAGTTACGGCGTGTTGCAATTCCCGGTGCACTGCGTCGGCTCGGCTCGGAGCACGGGTTTTGGAAGGCTCCAGGCAAGCGGGAGGCTGAGTCAATGCAGTGCACTGACTTGGCACGGCATGCCCCGAGCCGAGTCAGTGCACTGCATCGCCTTGGCTCGAGCCAGCACGACCTGACACGTGCCAGCAAACCGCCACTCTGCCCTCGCCAATCTGGCGATTTCCTGACTCGTGTCAGGAAATCGCTTCACAACTACCTCGAACTTCATGACGAAATTTCGAGGTTCCCGAGGCGCGAGTCTGGCACGACCTGGCTCGTGCCAATCGAGCCGAGCCGATGCAGTGCACCGGGAATTGCAACACGCCGTTAGATTCGACGCTCGCTCGTGGTACTCGTGGTACAGGTTCGAGGGAGGTGGGGGTGGTTGG